TGTGGGGCCTTTCCTTTTGGCTGCTGGGCCCTTTGGAGTTGGCAGGCTGGTGTGCCTGCCTCAGTTTCTCCGGGTACAGGAGGAGACGTGCTGCCCCCCCCCCCCCCCCCGCCCTCCCAGTCCCACAGCTCAGTGGCACCCTCAGGCTTTCCAGGAGATCCTTCCCTTCCTTTCCCCGTCTGCTCTCTGCACTAGCACCAGGCTCTCAGTGCTTGGGACCAGAGAGGAAGTGACGGCAGGGTGGCCATGCTGGGTCTGTGAGTTGGCAGGGGAAGCCGCCGGTGAGAAGTGCCAGGGCTGGGGGGAGCCGTGGGCCGGCTGGGCATCCGGGAGTGACGCAGGGTGATGTGAACGCGTCCTGGTTGCAGCCCGGGCAGCAGCGGGAGCAGGTTTGGGGGGGATGACTACCCTCCCACACAGGCCTAGGCAGCCAAGCTAGGGCCTTGGGGGCAGAGCGGGAGCCAGGCTGGCCTCCCCAAGCAGCAGAGTTACCTTGAGAAGGCTGGGAAGGGGAGGGTGGGGAGGGGGGCAGGCCCTCGCCGCCTGTGGTTGCTGCTTTGGGAAGTCTGAAGGTCTCGTGACCCGTCAGCCGAGCCCAGCCCTTTCCTCGTGAGGTTCCAGCATGGGGTGGGGTCTGAGCGTGCCGTGTGCCTGTGTGAGCACTGGACTCCAAGCCCACGGGCAGCGTCCCCTGAGGGGTGGGCCTGCCTCAGGGGCTCCCGCCCCCACGGCTCCCTGGGCGGTCGGGGGGCCTCACCAGGGACTGTGCACTGGAGCTACAGGGAGGGGCCCAGGCCCGGGCACAGATGTCCACACACACGCCCTCATGGGCGCGCACACACCCGCGCTGGACCTCTCAGGCCACGGTCCGAGTCCCCGTTTGCGGCTCCCCTCCCTGCCATCTCATAATCCCGCAGGCCCGCAGTTGCCCTGGTGACATGCATAAGCGCCCACCACACCTGGCCCCCCTGGAGGGCAGCCAGTGTCCGTGCAAACCTGGGTTTTGTTCAAGCAAAGTGGCCCCACCCACGGATGGCCCTACTCTGGCCAGGGGCTGGCAGGAGAGTCCCCGGCTGGGGCGAGCTGAGCGTGGGGAAGGCATCTGGGCTAGCGCCCCACTTTCTCCATCCCCTCCACCTGGTCCCCCGTCAGCATACCACCTCACCTTGGCTGTGCCCACTCTCCAGACACATTTCCTTGAGACCCCGCCCCAGAATATTCCAGTGTTCTCGGCAGTGAAGCTGTTCTGCTGCTGGGGGAGCATAGACCCTCACCCCTCACCGGAAGGGCTCGGGCGCAGCCCCTGGGGTGTGTGAGGCATGACCCCTAGTGCCAGCCCCGGCGGCAGCTGGATGCTGCGGTGGCGTCTGAGGCCGGGAAGGGTTAGGGTTAGGGGCTGAGGCAGGACAAGGAGCAGGAAGGGCATTTGGGGAGGCACCAGGGGCTCAGCCTGTCGCCTCCCTGTCCTCTGTGAAATGGGGCTTTGGTGACCTTATTGTCGCTGGACTGCCTAGAGAGCCTGTCTGTGGGACCACAGTGGGCAGGGGCCGGGTCAGGCGGGCGGGTGGCCGCCCCTGCACTCACGGCTGGGCGGGGCTTGGCACATGGGGACTGACAGGACCATGCTCTGGGGGATCCTGGGGTGCCTCGTCCTCCCTCCCAGGGTGCAGGTCCGAGCCTGGCAGGTTCCCGGCCTCTCTGCCCTGCAGTGGGCAGGCAGGATTTCCTCCTTCCTGTTTGTGCGTCCTGGGGCCAGGCGCTGGCCAGCCGGCGGTTCTGCCTGAGGGGGTGCAGAGGGACCTAGAGCTCAAAACCACACCCTCCTGGCGGTGTGGCCTCGGGGAACAGAGTGGGGAGCAAGTCCCTGCCCCTGATTCAGCCAAGCCTGCTCTTCAGCCCACAGTGGGCGTGGGGCCCTTTGCGGTGCCAGGGGGCCGAGGCGGGGCTGGCTGGCTGGAGCAGGGCCGGCTGCGCTCCGTGGCCCTGGTTCCCAGGGCGGGGTGTGCCCCCTCCTCCGCGCTGTCCACACCTTCGCCATGGCCCTCGGCACCCGCCAGACGCCCCCGGAGTGGATTTGGGGCTGCGGCTTCTCAGGGCCAGGACCCCTGCCCGGCTACAGGAGCCTTCCTCCGCGGTGCCCCCCCCGCCCCCCAGCACGGGGCGCCCAACTGGAGGCCCTGCCTGCGGTCCCCTTCCCCAGCCAGTCGCGCTCCGCCCCCAGCCGCTCCAGGGACATGCTTGCCAGGAGAGGGCGGTCACCCGCTCTTGTTTTGTTGTCTGATTCACAGAAACGGCTGCAGCTGGCCGCGGAGCTCTGGGCGAGGTCGGGCGGCTGGGGCGGCAGGTTTCTGGGCGGGCTGGGGGAGCTTGGCAGCCCTCCCCAAGCCCCTCCACCTGCCTGCCTAGGCCCCACCCCAGACCGGACCCTCCTCCGCGCCGCCCCCACTGCGGTCCCTTGGTCCCTCGTGCGCTGGTGGTGTGGGTGGGCACCACCTCTTCTGGACTCAGCCCTGCCCTGCACCACCCCCGCCCCGGGGGCGAGCCGCCTTGGGCAAGTGGCTTCCCCTCCTCCAGGCCCGGCTCTCTCATTTCTCACTGCTTACACAGGCGTACCCACCTTGGGCTGGGGGTACGGGCCTGGGTGGAATTGGAAGGGAAACTGAGGCAGGATGGTGCGTTTGGCTGCTGTGCAGGGGAGCTGGCTCCGTAGAGAAGAGGCGAGGCCCGGATCAGAGGCAGGGACTTGCTCCCCACTCTCCGTTCCCCACCCTGGCAGTCCCCCTGGTGTTTCCAGGTGGGCACAGCGGCCCCCAGATGTCCATGGGGAAATCGAGGCCCAGAGAAGGCACAGGCTTGCTCGGGGTCACACAGCAACTTGGCCAAAGAGCAGTGGCCACAGTCACACTCCTGCGGGGCTGGGCCTCCCCCATCTGCTTCACAGGGACAGGGACCTGCCCAGTCCCCCGGCTGGGTGCCCACCCCATGGGGCAGGGACTCACGCCTCCCACTCGTTGCCCTGCAGCCTGCAGTGGGCGGGGGCTTGGGCCCCCTCGCCACCGGCAGTGTGGGCACCTGCAGAGAGGGCTTCCCGAAGCCCGGGCCTGTGTGCCGGAGCTCGCGTCCATCACTGCTGCGTCTTCGTGGAGTACGCGGCCCAGTTTCGGGGAGTCAGGCTGGAGTTGTGTTTGTGGGAAAGCTGTGAATAAGGATTTGATTGTTGGATCAGGACAGAACTATGTAGACAGGCCGCTTCTCCTTGGGCTGCGTTGGCCTCATTATTCTCTACAGGTCCGTCCAGTTCGTCTGAACGTTCAGACTTATCGGCAGGAAGTTTATCATTTCCTCACTTCAGTTTCATGGAGCATTTTAAAAATTCTTTCTTGAACAAGAGCACAAATCCTACAAACTTGACAGAGAGGGACAGCGAGAGCGCGTGTGAGCACAAGCAGCAGTGGGGGGCAGGCGATTTTTCTTTTCTTTTTAAGGATTTATTTATGCGAGAGAGAGAGAGCTCATACGCGTGGGGGGAAGGGCAGAGGGAGAGGGAGAGAGAGAATCTCAAGCAGACTCCCCACTGAGTGTGGAGCCCAACGTGGGGCTTGATCCCATGACCTTGAGATCATGACCTGAGCCAAAATGAAGTCACGCTCAGCCGACTGCACCACCCAGGCACCCCTCTTGCCCATTTTTCTATTGGGTTGTTTGTCTTTTCCTTTTGGTTTGCAAGAAATCTTCGTACGTTCGGGGCAGGAGGCTTTGGTTTGGTAAGTATGTTGCAAATCTCTGGCCAGTCCATACCTTGGCTGCTGACTCCTTCAGCGATGCCTTGTGATGAACGGAAGCTCTTCATGTTGACGTAGACCAATTCTCCGCCATACCCTATGGGCCTGGCGCCTTCAGTACGCTGGTTAGGAATTGCTTCCCCACCCCCACTGGCGTTTCTATTTATCTTCTGGAGGCTTCATTGCTAAACCTTCTGCTTTGGTCCTACAATCCATATGAAATTAATACTTTCCATGGCTGGCATGGGGTTGAGATTAATATTTTTCACATGGATAGCCAACAGACCCACACGAGTAACTGAAAAGACCATCATCCATTTCCCACAGCTTTGCATCTGTGAGTTCGGTTCTGGGATCTTTTTCTGTTCTGTTGGTTTTCGTTTGCATTTTCCTGACAGCTAAGGAAGTCATCCATCTTTTCTTGTGGGCATCAGTATATCTTTTTTGTCAAGTGTCTGTTCAAATCTTTTGCCCATATTTAATTGAGGTGCTTTTTTTTTTTGTCTTTATCTGTTGATTTGTCAGTTTATCTGGATGCAAGTCCTTTGTCAGATCTATGCATTGCTTTTTCATTTTCTTAAGAATGTCTTTCAAGACCGGAAGTATTTAATTATGATGAAATGTAATTTATTGCATTTTCTTTTGTGAGTCACACCCTTGCTGTCCTGTCTAAGAAAACGTTGCCTCCCCAGGGTGGTACAGAATGTCCCGTGTTTTCTTCTGGAAGGTTTATCGTTTTAGGTTTTACATTTAGCTCTATGATTCATTTTGAATTCATTTTTATGTGTAACATGAGGTAAGAGTCCAGGATTTTGTTTTGTTTTTTGTTTTCCAAACACATAACCAGTTGTCCCAGCACCATTGTTGAAAAGACTACGATTTTTCTATTGAAATAACTTGGCTGATTTGTCAAAAATCAATCGACCGCACAAAGTGTGGGGATATTCTGGACTTTGTATTCCATTTCATTGATCTTTTATATTTATATCATACTGTCTTGATTCTGCTGGGCATCAGAGAAAATACCTAGCATGATTTAAGTTGTCTTAAACTTACTGAAATATTTTATTAATTTTTTTTAATTAATTTATTTATTTGACAGAGACACAGTGAGAGAGATCCCAGGACTCTGGGATCATGACCCAAGCTGAAGGCAGACGCTTAACGACTGAGCCACTCAGGTGCCCCAACATTTTATTAATTTTATTCTTTTTTTTTTTTTTAAAGATTTTATTTATTTACTTGAGACAGAGAGAATGAGAGACAGAGAGCATGAGAGGGAGGAGGGTCAGAGGGAGAAGCAGACTCCCTGCCGAGCAGGGAGCCCGATGCGGGACTCGATCCCGGGACTCCAGGATCATGACCTGAGCTGAAGGCAGTCGCTTAACCAACTGAGCCACCCAGGCGCCCTATTAATTTTATTCTTTAAAAAGATTTATTTTTGAGAGAAAGAGAGAGTGCATGAGAGGGCCAGAGGGAGAGAGAGAATCTTAAGCAGACTCCCCTCTGAGCATGGAGCTGAAATCATGACCTGAGTTGAAACCAAGAATCGGACACTCACCCGACTGCCCCCAGGTGCCCCCCCCTTTTTTTTCTAAACTTACTGAGATGTAGTCTATCTTGGTGAATGTCCCATGTGCACATAGGAGCAGGTGGAGGGGCCTCCAAGTGCCAGTTTGGTCTCACTGGTTCACTGGTTATTCACCTGTTCTTATGTGTCCTATTCTGTACCCAGAGGAGCGTTAGGATCTCCTGTCATAATTGTGGATTTAAGTGTCCTGTCAGTGCGGCCACTTTTCTCTTCTGTGTTTGTAACCGCTGTTATCAGGTGTATACAGACAAGTTTATTGTGTTTTTTGATGAATTATTCCCTTTTTAAAAAGAGTTATGTATTTATTTGAGAGAGATCAAGTGCACAGTGGGAGGGGCACAGGGAGAGGGACAGAGAATCTCAGGCAGACTCTGTACTCAGTGCAGAGCCCAATGTGGGGTTCGATCCCACGACTCTGAGATCACGACTTGAGCTGAAACCAAGAGTTGGACGCTTAACCAACTGAGCCACCCAGGCGCCCCCCTCCCCCATCCCTCTATTATTATAAAATGTTAGGACAGTTAATGCGTGGTGTATACTTTTCTTTCCTTTCACTTTTAACCTATCTATATCTTTACATTTATAGTCCATTTCTTGTAAACAGCATATGGTTAGGTCTTGCCTCTTTAAATGTCCTCTGACAATCTCTCCCTTTTGATTGGAATTTTAAGTCCCTTTATACTTAATGTAATTGTGAACGTGGTTGGTCGAAATCCCACCGTCTTGCTCATGGCTTTCTGTTTTATCCTTGCTCCTCTCTCCTTCCTTACCATGTTTTAGGATAGTTAAATACACTTACACATATATAATTACTCAGGAATATACATTTTAAATATACATAGAAAGAGAGACACACATTGTATATATCTATAGAAAATGTATTTTTAGGATTCCATCTCATTTCCACTGTTGGTTTATTAGCTCTGCATCCTCTACAATGGTTCCTTTATGGCTTATACTATGTATTCTGTACCCATCGCAGTATACTGCCTCATGTATAAGGTAAGAACTTTACAACTTTATGGTAACTTTCATTCCTGCAACCCCATCCTTCAAACTATAGTCGTCATAGGCTTTACTTCTACACATGGTAAATTTTACATTTTATTACTTTTGTTTTGTGCAATCAGTTCCATTTTTCTTTCACAGCTCGATGGAGGATAATTTATACACCATAATATCCACCCACTGTGAATGTACAGTTCAATCGTTGTTAGTAGCTTTGTGAAGTTGTGTGACCATCACCACGATCCAGTTCTAGGACATTCCCATCACCCCAGATTCTCCTAAGCCTGTTTATGGTCCACGCCTGTGCCCACTCGTAACCCTAGCGATGTTTACTTCCTTCTGGTAAATTAGGGAAGCTTCGACCCAACGTACGTGCTTTCCTCCCCCTCGCTCCTGCCTCGATCATCACATACGGATCGCATCTGTATGTGTGGTAATCCCAACGAGGCGGCCCTGGGATGACTGCCTCCCCCCACGGGAGTGGAAGGACTGGCCTGTGCCCTGAGCCCCGCCCGCTGCTTGTTTGGGGAGTTCAGGCTGTTGCAGTGGTCACGTGGCCTCCAACGCCTAGACTGTCTGGCCTTCTACAAGGAAAGTTTGCCAACCCCCTGCTTCCTACAACGTCGTGTCTTTTAAAGAAGTGAAGACTTGAGCTGGACGGAGGGAAAAGGTATATTTATATTCTCTCGTGCTCGCCCGCCGATGTAGCGTTTTCCGCACTCCCCGTTCCTCCCTGCGGACTTGAGATAGCGTCCCGCAGCCGTGCCTTTTCTTCAGCACTGCTGGGGAGGCAGACGTGCCCGCAGTGGATTCTCCCAGTCTTGGCTCATTTGCAGATGCCTCCGTTTGCCTTTATTTGTGCAGCACGGTTTGCTAGGCCTGGAGGTCTAGCTTCCCGACGTCTTCCCTTCAGCCCCGCCAGTGTGCCCTTCCAGGGCGCACGCGCAGCTCCCGGGGTGCCAGGTGCTGACTGTGTGGTCCCCGCCCTTACTGTGCAGCTCCTGTTTGTCTTGTTGCTTTCAGAATCTTCCCCTCTCTTCATCGTCTGGGCTGTGATGTGTTGGGTCCGGACCTCTGTGTGTTTATCCTGCTGTGATGGCCGAGCCTCCCGGGTCTGCAGATAGCTCCCGGCGGCCTTTCTCCTCCCTCTCTCCCTCCCTCTCTCTCTCTCTCTCTCCTTCTGAGACTCGGGCCACTTACAGGCTGCTGGGCTGAATGTGCTCTCGCACATCTCACGGGCACCGCCACTTTCTTGAATCTTTTTTCCTCTGTTCTCCAAATTGGCCAATTTCTATTAATTTACAAGTTTTTTCGATGCTTTCTCCTGGCATGTCCGTTCTGCTACTGAGTCCCTGTAGTACATTTTCAACTCCAGACTTTCCAGGTAGCCTTTTTACAATCTCTGTTTCTCTAGGACAGCCTCCCTTCGCTGAGCCACGGTATTTTCCATCCATAGTCGTTGCTTTGAAGTCAGTGCTCAGTCCCACCTCTGGACATTCAGAGAGCTTCCGCGAGTTGCTTTGTTCCCTGGTATGGATCATACGCTCTTCTTTCTCTGTGTGTCATGTCACTTCTGGCTGAGTGCTGGACACTGCAGCAATTCTGGGTTCTGGCCCCCTCGGGGCTGGATTGTTGTTTCTCTGTGTGTTTCTCTGTGTGACTTTCTGGGACTAAATCTGTGAAGGCTACTTCACCTGAGTCTCCCTGCACAGGCTCACCGCTTCCTGACCTGATGTCACAACCTGCCCACCCCTGCGTGTGCTCCCAGACCCAGTGTCCAGGATGGGGTGACGCGTGCACCAGGTGCACGGACGGACTTCGCCTGGGCCCGGCCCCCCGGGTCCGCCATCTGGTCTCCCCACCTGCACGGCCCCGCTGACTCAGCCTCTCTCTTTGCAGTGTCTGGCCGGCAGCTGCAGCCTGAGGAGCCGGACGCAGACACAGAAGAGGACCAGTCTGTAAGCAAGGCCCCTGGAGGATGCATGCCCCCCTCACACAGCCCCCAGCCTTTCCTGGGCCTGCGCAGAGCCCAGGTGGCTGAGGGCTACCTGATTTTTCTCTCCTGCCAGGTGACTGAAGGGCCCGTGGACGAGATCATTCGGCCACGGCCACAGGGGTCCTCCCCTGTGTATGAACACGCTGCGGAGGGTGTTGGCTCCGGACTCCCGGTAAGCCTGCAGGACAGAGACCACGGGCTGAGGGAAAGTGCAGGTGTGAGCATGTCTCCTTCATCATCCTGTGTGGGCAACTCCCACCCGTTTGTGCAGCCACGCAGCCCTGCCCTGCTGCCCACCGGGCCACAGTTCTACCCATTGCGCCTTCCTCTCTGACCCCTCCGTCCCCCAGGACCCCTCCCTTCAGCGGGCCAAGACGGAGATGAGATTGTGCACGCGTGTGCACGTGTGGGAAAGAGAGCCCATGCCCGATGTGGGCATACACGGGCTGTCTCTGGAGGGGCCTAGGGGGAGGGCATGGGAGCAGGTGTATTTCCTAAAAGACTTGTTCTTGCTCTGTTTCCTTCTTACCCTGCCCACAAAACCCCAGTTCCTGGCGGGTCTGCCCTGGGTGTGGGTGCTGGGGCCTGGGGGCTGGGCCCTGTCAGGAAGCACCAGGGCCAAGAGTCACCGCCCCCCGCCCCCCGCCCCAGCCATGAGATCAGCTCCCTCGGCACGCAGCACTGCTCTGGGGCCTCCGGTCCCCTGAGTCCCTCCTGTGCCCGGGGTGGGGGCAGGTGCGTGACCTCTGGCCTCTGTGGCTGCAGGAGGACACACCGAGGCGGCGGGCTTCCTCGGACTCTGGGGGACGGAGATCCTGGTGGAAGCGAGAATCAGGGGACTCCCGGACATTCTCCAGGATGAGTCATCCGCAGGTGGGTGTGGCAGTGCCTGAGGGTCAGGGAGGTGGGCTCCCTGCGAAGACCCCCAGCTGGGCGGGAGGCGCGGCTGGGTCGGAGCAAGGAGAGGGGCGAGGAGACCAGGGAAGGGCCTGCTTGTCACCCTCGTCGGGCCTGGTCTGGAGGCGGGGCCTCCAGAGGCTGGTCCGGGCTTCCCCTGAGACGTCTAAGGAAGAGCCCCACGTGGCCAGGGAGACCGAGGCACGCAGACCTCAGTCTCTGCAATGGGTGCAGCTGCTGCCTGCCTCATACACAAACCACGGAAGGTGCTGGATTCGGGGGCGCCCAGTGAGGAGGGTGCACGGCCCCGAGGCAGCCTGTCCTGTCATCCGCGGCTCCTGCAGTCCCACAGCTCGGCCGGGCCCAAAGCCTCTGAGTCGGGCTGGCCGTCCCACTTGCTGTGTGATCCTCGGCACTTCTGACCCTCCCCCGCCTGACCCCCACCGCCTTGCGTGCCACTGGGGCGTGAGGGATGAACAAGGCTTGCCCACCCTGCGAGCAGAAGCCCCTCCTGTCTGCTCACTGAGCCCAATGGGCCAACCAGCTGCTCCCGAGGGCTGGCAGGTTGGGGGGACAAGAGGAGGCCGCTCCTGCAGCAGGTGGCTTGCAGCTGGCTCTCTCCAAGGCCTGGACAGGACAGCCCAGGCCCTGGCTGGGGGCTCCTATGCTGCCCCCTGTCTCCTGGATGATGGGCAGGACTCTGGGGTCCCCATGCTCAGGGTGGGTAGGCCCCCAGCACGGATGCCCACGGCGCCATAGGCAGAAGTGCACCACGGCCCTGATGTGCTTCTGCTCCAGTCCATGCAGGAGGCGACAGAGGTGATGCTGACAACCGAAGCAGAAGCTGGAGCCAGCGGATATAGTGTCACAGGTGGTGGGGACCAGGGGATTTTTGTGAAACAAGTCCTGAAGGACTCGTCAGCTGCCAAGCTCTTCAGCCTGAGAGAAGGTGCCATGACCGCCCCCTCCCTGGGATCCCCATGGTCCCCATCAGGACGGGAGGGACCTGGAGGAAAACGGGCCTCGCCCGGCGCTCAGGATGCCCCTGCTGAGACTGCTCAGCCACCTCCAGGCCGGGGCCGCCGGCTGTGCTAGGCGTTCCCGCCAGGGCCACGGGGTGGCCTCCTTCCCACACAGGGCTCCGTGGAGGGTGGGGCTGGGCTCCCGGGGCCCCGGTAGATGCATCTCTCCGAGCTATGGCGGGACTGGGGCATCTAAGGCCGAGGGCCCGCTCTGTCTTTGTCTAGGGGATCAGCTGCTCAGCGCAACCATATTCTTTGACAACATTAAATATGAAGACGCTCTCAAAATTCTTCAGTACTCAGAGCCTTACAAGGTGCAGTTCCAAGTCAAACGGAAACGTCCCGCCACAGAGGACGAGGAAGGGGCCACCAGGGGGGCTCAGCATGGCCCGAAGGGCAGTGAGAAGCAGGTGATGCACCACAGCCAGTGAGGCTGGGCCCCACTGACCTCCCCCCAAACCCCGGGGCTGAGGCTGAGGAGGGGCTCCCACCCCACCCTCTTCTGTCCCCTGAGTGCCTCGTACCAGCAGCTGCAAGTTCACTCTCCTTGTGTTTCAGGACAAAGATGTGGCTGATGGCTCCACAGAGACCCCCACACAGACCCTGGAAGGGGGCGGAGACCAGGAGAGACTGCTCGCCAAGCCCAGGGAGGGTAGATGCAGGCGGCCCCCAAAAGAGAGGCTGTCCTGGCCCAAATTCCAGTCAATAACGAGCAAGCCAGGACCGCGGAGGTCACACAGCTCCTCAGGGGCCTACGGGCGGGGAGATGCACCTGATGTGTCCCCTACAAGCGCAGACACGGAGGCCCAGCTCCCAGCAGAGGATCAGGAGCAGAAGGCAGAACCAGACGGCCAGCGGAAGAGGAGGTTCCTGAACCTGAGGTTCAGGATGGGCTCAGGGAAGGGTCCGACGCTGGAAGGGCGACCAAGCAGAGGGGTCCAAGGTGGAGCACTCCAGGCTGGGGTTGTAGAGGAGGCCGGATCCTGGGAGGACAGACGAGAGGCCACCGAGGCCACCGTGCAAAGCAGGGGAGAGGACAGGACGGCAGAGGTACCAGCAGGGACACCCAGAGAGCCTGGAGCCCCCAGCCGGGGAGCCCTGGGGGAAGGGGCCAGCATGGCGTCTAGGCGCCGAAAACAAACAAAGGACGCGAAGGACCCGGAGGACGCTGTGTCAGAGGGGAAGCCTGGGCTGAGCTCAGCCCCACAAGGTGGGGAGGACCTCAGAGAGGTGGCTCAGGGCATGGAAGCTGGGATTGCCAGATCAGCTCTGCAAGGCAAAGGAGACGCACAGGGCCGCCAACCAGAATTCCAAATCCAAATACCCAGTTTAAAAACACCCATGTTTAAACTTTCCAAAGAAAGAAATCAAGACACAGAAGGAGGCACAGCGCTGCTGGCCCAGGGGGACGGGCAGGGAGGGACCGCGGCAGAGGAGACCCCCCCCGTGGGGGAGGGGGCACCAGGACCTCAGCTGGCAGCACCCAGGAAGCCCAAAGTGCACCTGCCAGAACGAGAAGAAGGAGGAGCAGGGGGACCTGAGGAAGGTCATAGGGAAAGAGAAAAGAAGGATGGGGACAAGGACAAAGGAGGGAGAGAGGAGAGGAGGACAATGCTCAGGTTCAACATTCCCTCCTTCGGATGGTCACCCAGAAAGGACGTGAGAGCAGCCGGGGAAAAACCCGTCCTGGACCTGGACCAAGAAATAGGAAGCACCATGAAAGTGAAAGTACTACATACGGAAGACAAGGAAATACTAGGAGAAGGGAAAGAAGAAACACGAGACCCAAGAGGGGGACAGCCAACTGCAGCAGAGGAACAAAGACTGGAAGGGGACCTGTCCCTGGGAGACAAGGAGGTGGCCGCCAGAGACAGCAAGTTCAAGATGCCCAAGTTCAAGATGCCGTCCTTCGGCACGTCAGTGCCAAGCAAAGATTTGGGAACATCCGTGGACGTGTCGGTACCCAAGGTCGGAGCCGAGACCACACTGCCCTCCTTGGGTGGGGAGGTGCGAGCCCCAGAGGGTGCCACCCAAGTGCCCACTGCTGATATCGACCTCCCTGGGGGAGAGCTGGAGGTGTCCCTCCCTGAGGGAGAGGTGGCTGTGTCCGGGCTGAAGGGCAAAGCAGAAGGGGTCAAGATCAAGGGTCAGCTGCCCAAAGTGTCAATGCCCAGCCTCAAGATGCCCACGGTGGACATAAAGGCCCCCCAGGTGGACATCGAGGGGCCCAAACTGGACCTGAAGGGTGCCAAAGGGGAGGTGAGCGCCCCCGACATGGAGGTGTCCTTGCCCAGCATGGAGGTGGACGCCCAGGTTCCTGATGCCAAGGTGGAGGCTGACCTGTCCCTGGGAGACAAGGAAATGGCTGCCAGAGACACCAAGTTCAAGATGCCCAAGTTCAAGATGCCGTCCTTCGGCATGTCGGCACCAAGCAAGTCCTTGGAAGCCTCTGTGGACGCGGCCCTGCCCAAGGTACAGGCTGAGGTTTCCATGCCCTCTATCCAGGCCGACGTCAAGACCAGTGATGTGACCATTGAGCTGCCATCTGCCGACCTAGACGTCAAGACAGCCTCGGTGGGCCTGAAGCTCCCTGAGGGCCAAGTGCCCGAGGGGAAGCTGCAGGAACCCTCAGACAGAGGCGGACTCAAAGGGCACCTGCCCAAGGTGCAGATGCCCAATGTCAAAATGCCCAAAGTGGACTTCAAGGCCCCCCAGGTGGACATCAAGGGGCCCAAACTGGACCTGAAAGGCGCCAAAGGGGAAGTGAGCGCCCCCGACGTGGAGGTGTCCCTTCCCAAGGTGGAGGTGGCTGCCCAGGTTCTCGGTGCCAAGGTGGATGCTGACCTATCCCTGGGAGACAAGGAGGTGGCCGCCAGAGACAGCAAGTTCAAGATGCCCAAGTTCAAGATGCCGTCCTTCGGCGCATCGGCGCCAAGCAAAGATTTGGGAACATCCGTGGACGTGTCGGTGCCCAAGGTCGGAGCCGAGGCCACGCTGCCCTCCTTGGGTGGGGAGGTGCGAGCCCCAGAGGGTGCCCTCCAAATGCCCACTGCTGATATCGACTTCCCTGGGGGAGAGCTGGAGGTGTCCCTCCCTGAGGGAGAGGTGGCTGTGTCCGGGCTGAAGAGCAAAGCAGAAGGGGTCAAGATCAAGGGTCAGCTGCCCAAAGTGCCAATGCCCAGCCTCAAGATGCCCACAGTGGACATCAAGGCCCCCCAAGTGGACATCAAGGCCCCCCAGGTGGACATCAAGGGGCCCAAACTAGACCTGAAGGGCCCCAAAGGGGAGGCAAGCGCCCCCAACATGGAGGTGTCCCTGCCCAGCGTGGAGGTGGACGCCCAGGTGCCCGGTGCCAAATTGGAGGCTGACCTGTCCCTGGGAGACAAGGAGGTGGCAGCCAGAGACACCAAGTTCAAGATGCCCAAGTTCAAGATGCCGTCCTTTGGTGTGTCTGCACCAAGCAAGAATTTGGGAACATCCGTGGATGTGGACGTGTCAGTGCCCAAGGTCAGAGCCGAGGCCACACTGTCCTCCCTGGAAGGGGAGGTGCGAGCCCCAGAGGGTGCCCTCCAAGTGCCCACTGCTGATATCGACCTCCCTGGGGGAGAGCTGGAGGTGTCCCTCCCTGAGGGAGAGGTGGCTGTGTCCGGGCTGAAGGGCAAAGCAGAAGGGGTCAAGATCAAGGGCCAGCTGCCCAAAGTGCCAATGCCGAGCCTCAAGATGCCCAAGGTGGACATCAAGGCCCCGCAGGTGGACATCAAGGTCCCCCAGGTGGACATCAAGGGGCCGAAACTGGACCTGAAGGGCACCAAAGGGGAGGTGAGCACCCCCGACATGGAAGTGTCCTTGCCCAGCATGGAGGTGGACGCCCAGGTTCCTGATGCCAAGATGGAGCCTGACCCGTCCCTGGGAAACAAGGAGGTGGCCGCCAGAGACAGCAAGTTCAAGATGCCCAAGTTCAAGATGCCGTCCTTCGGCGCGTCGGCACCAAGCAAGTCCTTGGAAGCCTCTGTGGACGCGTCCTTGCCCAAGGTACAGGCTGAGGTTTCCATGCCCTCTATCCAGGCCGACGTCAAGACCAGTGATGTGACCACTGAGCTGCCATCTGCCGACCTAAACGTCAAGACAGCCTCGGTGGGCCTGAAGCTCCCTGAGGGGCAAGTGCCCGAAGGGAGGCTCCAGGAACCCTCGGCCGCAGGCGGACTCAAAGGACACCTGCCCAAGGTGCAGATGCCCAGCATCAAAATGCCCAAAGTGGACTTCAAGGCCCCCCAGGTAGACATCAAGGGGCCCAATCTGGACCTGAAGGGTGCCAAAGGGGAGGTGAGCGCCCCCGACATGGTGGTGTCCCTGCCCAGCGTGGAGGTGGACGCCCAGGTTTCCGACGCCAAGGTGGAGGCTGAACTGTCCCTGGGAGACAAGGAGGTGACCTCCACAGACAGCAAGTTCAAGATGCCCAAGTTCAAGATGCCATCCTTCGGCACGTCAGTGCCAAGCAAAGATTTGGGAACATCCATGGACGTGTCGGTGCCCAAGGTCGGAGCCGAGGCCACACAGCCCTCCCTTCGAAGGGAGGTGCGATCCCCAGAGGGTGCCATCCAACTGCCCACTGCTGATATCGACCTCCCTGGGGGAGAGCTGGAGGTGTCCCTCCCTGAGGGAGAGGTGGCTGTGTCCGGGCTGAAGGGCAAAGCAGAAGGGGTCAAGATCAAGGGCCAGCTGCCCAAAGTGCAGATGCTGAGCCTCAAGATGCCCAAGGTGGACATCAAGGCCCCGCAGGTGGACATCAAGGTCCCCCAGGTGGACATCAAGGGGCCGAAACTGGACCTGAAGGGCGCCAAAGGGGAGGTGAGCACCCCCAACGTGGAGGTGTCCCTACCCGCTTTGGAGGTGGACACCCAGGTGCCCAGAGCAAAGGTGGAGGCTGACCTGTCCCTGGGAGACAAGGAGGTGGCCGCCAGAGACAGCAAGTTCAAGATGCCCAAGTTCAAGATGCCGTCCTTCGGCACGTCAGTGCCAAGCAAAGATTTGGGAACATCTGTGGACGTGTCAGTGCCCAAGGTCGGAGCTGAGGCCACACTGTCCTCCCTGGGAGGGGAGTTGCGAGCCCCAGAGGGTGCCGCCCAAGTGCCCACTGCTGATATCGACCTCCCTGGGGGAGAGCTGGAGGTGTCCCTCCCTGAGGGAGAGGTGGCTGTGTCCGGGCTGAAGGGCAAAGCAGAAGGGGTCAAGATCAAGGGCCAGCTGCCCAAAGTGCAGATGCCGAGCCTCAAGATGCCCAAGGTGGACATCAAGGCCCCGCAGGTGGACATCAAGGTCCCCCAGGTAGACATCAAGGGGCCCAAACTGGACCTGAAAGGCGCCAAAGGGGAGGCAAGCGCCCCCGACGTGGAGGTGTCCCTGCCCAGCGTGGAGGTGGACACCCAGGTTCCTGATGCCAAGGTGGAGGCTGACCTGTCCCTGGGAGACAAGGAGGTGGCAGCCAGAGACAGCAAGTTCAAGATGCCCAAGTTCAAGATGCCGTCCTTTGGCGCGTCAGTGCCAAGCAAGTCCTTGGAAGCCTCTGTGGATGCGGCCCTGCCCAAGGTACAGGCTGAGGTTTCCATACCTTCCATCCAAGCCGACGTCAAGACCAGTGAAGTGACCATTAAGCTGCCATCTGCTGACCTAGATGTCAAGACTGCCTCGGTGGGCCTGAGGCTCCCTGAGGGCCCAGTGCCCGAGGGGGAACTCCAGGAACCCTCAGACAGAGGCGGACTCAAAGGGCACCTGCCCAGGTTGCTGATGCCCAGCATCAAAATGCCCAAAGTGGACTTCAAGGCCCCCCAGGTGGACATCAAGGGGCCCAATCTGGACCTGAAGGGTGCCAAAGGGGAAGTGAGCGCCCCCGACGTTATGGTGTCCCTACCCGCCATTGAGGTGGATGCCCAGGTGCCCGGTGACAAATTGGAGGCTGACCTGTCCCTGGTAGACAAGGAGGTGGCCTCCAGAGACAGCAAGTTCAAGATGCCCAAGTTCAAGATGCCGTCCTTCAGCGCATCGGCGCCAAGCAAAGATTTGGGAACATCCGTGGACGTGTCGGTGCCCAAGGTCGGAGCCGAGGCCACACTGCCCTCCTTGGGTGGGGAGGTGCGAGCCCCAGAGGGTGCCGTCCAAATGCCCACTGCTGATATCGACCTCCCTGGGGGAGAGCTGGAGGTGTCCCTCCCTGAGGGCGAGGTGGCTGTGTCCGACCTGAAGGGCAAAGCAGAAGGGGTCAAGACCAAGGGTCAGCTGCCCAAAGTGCAGATGCCCAGCCTCAAGATGCCCACGGTGGACATCAAGGCCCCCCAGGTGGACATCAAGGGGCCCAAACTGGACCTGAAAGGCACCAAAGGGGAGGTGAGTGCCCCCGACGTGGAGGTGTCCCTTCCCAGTGTGGAGGTCGACGCCCAGGTTCCCGGCGCCAAGGTGGAGGCTGACCTGTCCCTGAGAGACAAGGAGGTGGCAGCCAGAGACAGCAAGTTCAAGATGCCCAAGTTCAAGATGCCGTCCTTTGGCACATCGGCACCAAGCAAGTCCTTGGAAGCTTATGTGGTCCCGTCGCTGCCCAAGGTACAGGTTGAGGTTTCCATGCCCTCCAACCAGGCCGACGTCAAGACCAGTGAAGTGACCATTAAGCTGCCATCTGCTGACCTAGACGTCAAGACTGCCTTGGTGGCCCTGAAGCTCCCTGAGGGCCAAGTGCCCAAAGGGGAGCTCCAGGAACCCTCAGCTGCAGGAGGACTCAAAGGGCACCTGCCCAAGGTGCAGATGCCCAATGTCAAAATGCCCAAAGTGGACATCAAGGCCTCCCAGATGGACATCAAGGGGCCCAAACTGGACCTGATGGGCGCCAGAGGGGAGGTGAGTGCACCCGACATGGAGGTGTCCCTACCCGCCATGGAGGTGGACGCCCAGGTGCCCAAAGCCAAAGTGGAGGCAAACCTGTCTGTGGGAGATAAGGAGGTGGCCTCCAGAGACAGCAAGTTCAAGATGCCGTCTTTTAGCGCATTGGCGCTGAGCAAGGATTTGGGAACATCCGTGGATATGGAAGTGTCACTGCCCAAGGTCAGAGCTGAGGCCACACTGCCCTCCCTGGGAGGGGAGGTGCGAGCCCCAGTGGGTGCCCTCCAAGTGCCCACTGCTGATATCGACCTCCCTGGGCGAGAGCTGGAGGTGTCCCTCCCTAAGGGAGAGGTGGCTGTGTCCGGGCTGAAGGGCAAAGCAGAAGGGGTCAAGACCAAGGGTCAGCTGCCCAAAGTGCAGATGCCCAGCCTCAAGATGCCCACGGTGGACATCAAGGTCCCCCAGGTGGACATCAAGGGGCCAAAACTGGACCTGAAAGGCGCCAAAGGGGAGGTGAGCGCCCCCGACATGGAGGTGTCCCTTCCCAGCGTGGAGGTGGACGCCCAGGTGCCCGGTGCCAAATTGGAGGCCGACCTGTCCCTGGGAGACAAGGAGGTGGCCACCAGAGACAGCAAGTTCAAGATGCCCAAGTTCAAGATGCCGTCCTTCAGCACATCGGTGCCAAGCAAATATTTGGGAACATCCGTGGACGTGTCGGTGCCCAAGGTCGGAGCCGAGGCCACACTGCCCTCCTTGGGTGGGGAGGTGCGAGCCCCAGAGGGTGCCGTCCAATTGCCCACTGCTGATATCGACCTCCCTGGGGGAGAGCTGGAGGTGTCCCTCCCTGAGGGAGAGGTGGCTGTGTCCGGGCTGAAGGGCAAAGCAGAAGGGGTCAAGATCAAGGGCCAGCTGCCCAAAGTGCAAATGCCGAGCCTGAAGATGCCCACGGTGGACATCAAGGCCCCGCAGGTGGACATCAGGGCCCCCCAGGTGGACATCAAGGGACCGAAACTGGACCTGAAAGGCGCCAAAGGGGAGGTGAGCGCCCCCGACGTGGAGGTGTCCCTGCCCAGTGTGGAGGTGGATCCCCAGGTGCCCGGTGCCAAATCGGAGGCTGAGCTGTCCCTGGGAGACAAGGAGGTGGCAGCCAGAGACACCAAGTTCAAGATGCCCAAGTTTAAGATGCCGTCCTTTGGTGCGTTGGCGCCAAGCAAGGATTTGGGAACATCCGTGGACGTGTCCCTGCCCGAGGTCAGAGCCGAGGCCACACTGCCCTCCCTGGGAGGTGAGATGCAAGCCCCAGAGAGTGCCGTCCAATTGCCCACTGCTGATATCGACCTCCCGGGAGACAAGGAGGTGGCCGCCAGAGACAGCAAGTTCAAGATGCTCACGTTCAAGATGCCGTCCTTCGGCACATTGGGGTCAAGCAAGTCGTTGGAAGCCTCTGTGGACGCATCCCTGCCCGAGGTACAGGCTGAGATTTCCATGCCCTCTATCCAGACCGACGTCAAGACAAGTGACATGACCATTGAGCTGCCATCTGCCGACCTAGAGGTTAAGACAGCCTCAGGGAGCCTGAAGCTCCCTGAGGGGCAAGTGCCCGAGGGGAGGCTCCAGGAACCCTCGGCCACAAGCGGACTCAAAGGGCACCTGCCCAAGGTGCAGATGCCCAGCATCAAAATGCCCAAAGTGGACTTCAAGGCCCCCCAGGTGGACATCAAGGGGCCCAAACTGGACCTGAAGGATGCCAAAGGGGAGGTGAGCACCCCCAACGTGGAGGTGTCCCTACCCGCTTTGGAGGTGGACACCCAGGTGCCCAGAGCAAAGGTGGAGGCTGACCTGTCCCTGGGAGACAAGGAGGTGGCCGCCAGAGACAGCAAGTTCAAGATGCCCAAGTTCAAGATGCCGTCCTTCGGCACGTCAGTGCCAAGCAAAGATTTGGGAACATCCGTGGACGTGTCGGTGCCCAAGGTCGGAGCCGAGGCCACACTGCCCTCCTTGGGTGGGGAGGTGCGAGCCCCAGAGGGTGCCGTCCAATTGCCCACTGCTGATATCGACCTCCCTGGGGGAGAGCTGGAGGTGTCCCTTCCTGAGGGAGAGGTGGCTGTGTCCGGGCTGAAGGGCAAAGCAGAAGGGGTCAAGATCAAGGGTCAGCTGCCCAAAGTGCCAATGCCCAGCCTCAAGATGCTCACGGTGGACATCAAGGCCCCCCAAGTGGACATCAAGGGGCCCAAACTAGACCTGAAAGACGCCAAAGGGGAGGCAAGCGCCCCCGACGTGGAAGTGTCCCTGCCCAGCGTGGAGGTGGACGCCCAGGTGCCCGGTGCCAAATTGGAGGCTGACCTGTCCCTGGGAGACAAGGAGGTGGCAGCCAGAGACACCAAGTTCAAGATGCCCAAGTTCAAGATGCCGTCCTTTGGTGTGTCTGCACCAAGCAAGAATTTGGGAACATCCGTGGATGTGGACGTGTCAGTGCCCAAGGTCAGAGCCGAGGCCACACTGCACCCCCTGGGAGGGGAGGTGCGAGCCCCAGAGGGTGCCCTCCAAGTGCCCACTGCTGATATCGACCTCCCTGGGGGAGAGCTGGAGGTGTCCCTCCCTGAGGGAGAGGTGGCTGTGTCCGGGCTGAAGGGCAAAGCAGAAGGTGTCAAGATCAAGGGCCAGCTGCCCAAAGTGCAGATGCCAAGCTTCAAGATGCCCACGGTGGACATCAAGGCCCCCCAGGTGAATATAAAGGACTCCCAGGTGGACATCAAGGGGTCCAAACTGGACCTAAAGGGCACCAAAGGGGAGGTGAGCGCCCCCGACGGGGAGGTGTCCCTGCCCAGCGTGGAGGTGGACGCCCAGGTTCCTGATGCCAAGATGGAGCCTGACCCATCCCTGGGGTACAAGGAGGTGGCCACCGGAGACAGCAAGTTCAAGATGCCCAAGTTCAAGATGCCGTCCTTCGGCGCGTCGGCACCAAGCAAGTCCTTGGAAGCCTCTATGAATGCGGCCCTGCCCGAGGTACAGGCTGAGGTTTCCATGCCCTCTATCCAGGCCGACGTCAAGACCAGTGATGTGACCATTGAGCTGCCATCTGCCGACCTAGACGTCAAGACAGCCTTGGTGAACCTGAAGCTCCCTGAGGGGCAAGTGCCCGAGGGGGAACTCCAGGAACCCTCGGCCACAAGCGAACTCAAAGGGCACCTGCCCAAGGTGCAGATGCCCGGCATCAAAATGCCCAAAGTGGACTTCAGGGCTCCCCAGGTGGACATCAAGGGGCCCAAACTGGACCTGAAGGATGCCAAAGGGGAGGTGAGCTCCCAAGACATGGTGGTGTCCCTGCCCAGCATGGAGGTGGACACCCAGGTGCCCAGCGCCAAGGTGGAGGCTGAACTGTCCCTGGGAGACAAGGAAGTGGCCGCTGGAGACAGCAAGTTCAAGATGCCCAAGTTCAAGATGCCGACCTTCAGCACGTCGGCACCAAGCAAGTCCTTGGAAGCCTCTGTGGACGCGTCCCTGCCCAAGGTACAGGCTGAGGTTTCCATGCCCTCTATCCAGGCCGACGTCAAGACCAGTGATGTGACCATTGAGCTGCCATCTGCCGACCTAGACGTCAAGACAGCCTCGGTGGGCCTGAAGCTCCCTGAGGGCCAAGTGCCCGAGGGGAAGCTGCAGGAACCCTCAGACAGAGGCGGACTCAAAGGGCACCTGCCCAAGGTGCAGATGCCCAATGTCAAAATGCCCAAAGTGGACTTCAAGGCCCCCCAGGTGGACATCAAGGGGCCCAAACTGGACCCGAAGGGTGCCAAAGGGGAGGTGAGTGCCCCCGACATGGTGGTGTCCCTGCCCAGCGTGGAGGTGGACGCCCAGGTTACCGGGGCCAAGCTGGATTCATCCTCTGGGGAGGTTGAAGTGTTTTCCAAAGCGACCAAGTTTAAATTTCCTAAAATCAGCATTTCCTCCTCTCGAACCTCCCCCAGTAAGACTTCCCTGATCTCTCCAGAGCTTGACAGACATGATAAAGATACCCATAGTTCGCTCTCCTCAGGCCTCAGAGATCCAATTGTCTCTGGTGGTGATCAGCATGCTCTCCATTTGGAAGGTGATGTCGCCTTGTCAGTTGGAAAAGATGGAGAAAAAAGCAAAAGCAAAAAATCCCATTTTAAATTGCCCAAAGTCTTCTCTCCACCAGGGAAAGCAGCTAAAGGCTTTGTAGCTTCTGCAGAGGAACCTGAGGTCCCTTTGCCTGTGAGGGCCTCAGCATCCCCCTTAGAGTCAGGACATGGGGGGCCCCAGGGGACGCCTGCGGCTTCCGTGGAGACTTCCCTGCAGGTGTCCAGGCTGGGCTGGCTCGGTGGTCCCCATGGGGAATCGTCCTGCCTCAGTACCAGTGAGGGTGTCACACTTACAAAATACCAGGTGACTGTCCCCAGAGGCCCAGTCCCCTCCGAGCTGCCTTGTGAAACCCCGTCTGGGTCCCAGGCGCACTCTCAGCTTCCCAGCACAGCAGGTGCAGGCGACCTCCTCTCCAGTGAGAGCATTCTACTGTCCCAGCCTGATGGTCACACGGGCCCCGCGGACACTGTATTTCCCGAATCTTATGGCCGGGTGACTTTTCCTAAATTTCATCGACCAAAGTTCCGGCTGTCACTGCCAACATCAGCCACTGGAGTGGTGGAGCCTGGAGCTGCCGAGCGTGCGCCCCCCACGTCCCCCCCGCTCGCTGCACAGGGACTGGACTCCTCCGCGGAGGAAGCCACGGCATTCCCAGTGCCAGACGGTCATCTGCCCCCTGCAGGTGTCTCTGCGTCCACAGTGGCGGAGGGACAGGCAGGCACTGCGGGGACATTGGCAGCAGCCCCAGAGGAGGCCCCAGCTGAAGGTGCGGGGCTCAAGGACAAAGGCAGGCCCGTGACAGCCCCGAGGCTCAAGCTGCCCTCCTTCAGCTGGTCCCCGAAGAAGGGGGTGGAGTCCAAAGCAGACCCTGGACACAGCCCGGCTGTCGCTGCAGATGCTCTGGGCGGCCCGCCCAGCGGTCCCGTTACCCCCGCAGAAGCTGGTGCAGATGCGTCTCTCGGGAAGGACGGGGAGGCGGGAGCGGTCAGGACACCAGCCCTTGCCCGGCTGAAGGTCGCACCTCCTGGAATGGAGGCTTCCACACGGGGGGCCGGCCTGCCCCGGGGAGACCCAGGCCTGGCCCTTGCCGGCCCCACAGACACGGCCGGTGGTGAGGGAGGTGTTGGGGGCACTGGTGCAGCCGCAGGTCCCCCAGAAGGAGCGGATGTGAGCCTGCACCTCCCAGAGGCCCCCGTTCCTAGCTTGGGCTTTGTCAGACCTGACCTCAGCCCTGGGGATGCCACGATGGAGCAGAGCCTGTCTACAGGCCGCCTTCCTCTTCCCAAACACGGCCTGTCCCTCAGGGACAGCACCCAAGAGCACGGGCCTGGGGACAGCTCAGCAAGCCAGCCCTGTGGGGACGTGACGGCCTCCTCGGCGGAAGACCCCCTTCAGCCATCCCCGGCGGTGGGGAGCCCAGGGCGGGATGCAGCCGCGGCAGAAGCGCCGGCAGGCTCCAGGGAGAGCTGGTTTAGGATGCCCTCACTCCGCCTGCCCGGCTTCGGACGCCCCGCCAAGGAGCGGGCAGGCTCTGCAGGGCTGGGGGCTCAGAGGCCCGCGCCCGTGGTGGCCGGTGTGCCAGGGGAAGGAGAGGCCGCAGCTGGGGTGCGGAGTCCGGATGCCCGTGTGCCTGCGTCAGAGGTGGATGTTGCTGAGTCCCTGCAGCCCCCCGAGGCTGGTGCAGATGGGGCAGCTGCAGGCAGCCCAGCTTCCTCCTACGCAGATGTTCTTCGGAGGAATCTTGACCTTCACGCCCCTGCTGAGGGGCTGTCAGCTTCCGAGGTCAGGGTCCGGCCGGGCGCAGGCTCCCTGCCCCTCCAGCTGCATGGGGTGCTTGCAGAGCCCTGTGTCCCTCCAGGAGAAGCAGGTGAGCCCCCTCTTCCTGGACCAGCAGGCCAGGGCCTGGGCAGAGGGGCGCAGGGGGCAGAGGGGCCGCCTTCCCAGCCTGAGGGCCCTCTCAGACTGAGGGCTTCCAGTACGGATGTGCCGTCCCAGGTTTCCGTGGTCAACGTGGGTCAAGTCTGGGAAGACTCTGTGCTACGTGTCCAGTTCCCCAAGTTAAAGGTACCAAGGTTCAGCTTCCCGGCCCCCGGCTCGGAGGCTGACGTTTTCGTGCCCAGCGTGACAGAGTTGTCGTCCTGCCCACAGAGCGGTCCTGACACGGCCCTGCTGGAACAAAGCCCTGGCGGGCTGGGCACCAGCTTCCCGAAGGCCCCTGTGGCCCTCGGCCTCTCCTCGGAAGCTGCCCCCATTTGTAAGGTCAGGGTGCACATTCAGGGCACAGAGGCTGCCAGCCGCCAGGTGTCCGTGCACAGCACGGTGACAGCCGGGTATGCCGAGCTCTCGGGGCCCGAGGCCTTTCCCACCCAGGTGGTGCGGGAGTCAGAGCTCCCCGCGTCGGAGACCCAAACACCTTCCTACGGGGTTTCCTTGCTAAAGGGGAGGGTCCCAGAACCCCCCACGTGGGCGCAGGTGCAGCTGGTGACCGCAGAGTGCGGGCTGGGGGGGCGCCTTCGAGAGGCTCAGGAACCTGTCCCAGGAGCAGACCCCGTTTCTGGAGACCTCCAGCCTGACACCGGAGAGCCTTTTGAGATGATCTGTCCCAGTGTAGATGTGCCGGGACCGCCAGCGTGTTCATCTGACCTTCACTCTGGCCACGGGCATGCAGACAGCTGTTCTGACGAAGAGCCCGCGGAAATCCTCGAATTCCCGCCGGAGGAGGGCCAGGAGGCAGAGGAGGCCGAGGCTCCCAAAGGAAAACCTGAAGGGAAAAGCTCCTCTGGTCTGTTCCGGTTTTGGCTCCCGAGCATCGGGTTTTCTCCCTCGGCCTCCGAGACAAGCGCCGATTCCCAAGCTGATGCCCAGAGACCGGCTCCCGTGCAGACCCAGCCCGAGGCGCGGACCCCTCCCTCACAGGAGAAGGGGGGCTGGTTCCGATTTCCTAAGTTGGGGTTCTCCTCCTCCCCTACCAAGAAAAGTGAAAGTGAGGAAGAGGAGGTGAGTCTGGCCGAGCAGAGTCTCCAAGAGGAGGCAGGTACCTTCTACGACGCGCGAGAAAGCTTCTCCCCGGATGAGACAGGAGCAAGGGAGCTGGCAGAGGCCGTGGGCACCAGGCGGGGCTCCGGGACCATGGTGACCTCCACGGCAAGAACCGAGCTGATCCTGCTGGAGCGGGACGGAGCCGCCAGCCAGCAGTCTGCGCCCAGGCCCGCCACCAAATGAGGGCCGGGAAGGGGTGACTGTTCCGCGGAGGACAGACGCCCGCACCAAGTCCCGAAGCAGAACCCCGGCCGCACCGAGCTCCCATCCCGACCACGCTGGCGTCCACGGCGTCCACCACACTCCCGGCACTGAGACGCAGGACACCAGCCGGGCCACCACCACGCGGCCCTCCGCCGGGGGCGGGGGGCCCGAGCTGCGGAAGCAGGGAGGCAGCCCGACAGCCCAGGCTGCTGGGGTGAGGTCTCCATGAACCACGCCTCCAGAGACCCGCCACAGTGCTCAGCGCAGCCGGGCCGTGCCCTTGGGGACGGGGTGTTAATGGCCGTGGGTGTAGACGCAGTGTTTGCCGTGGCCCGATCCTGTCCTGCCTCTTTGGGCCTCATCGTTTCCCTCGATGCCAGGCAGAGTCTGGTGCATTCCAGGAAACCCCACTGCCTGCTCACCTGTAAGGAGCGCAGTCCTGTGCCGAACACCTCACGAGGCGAGCTTCGGGATGCTTGGTGTAGACGGTGCCCACGCCGCGGAGCGTGGCGGCTGAGCCGGCTTGCTCCGTGGCCGCTTGGGGCGGGTGAGCCGGAGGAGGTCTGCACCGCCCCCCACATGCCCCGTGCCCCCCACTGCACACGCTGCAGCCAGGCTGCCAGTGGAACCCTCCCCTCCATGGACAATAAAGGACAAGATGCATCCCACAGCACTGCCTGCGAGGTCTTTTGTTTCTGCTCGTGCTCCACTCACACGCTCCCAGAACTAACCTCTCCCGGGTTGCCCTAGAGGAGAGTTAGGGGTGACTCTTAGAGTGGTCCTCTGCCTGTCGTGGGTCAGGCAGCCAGAAGGAGGCTCAGGCCGGGAGCTCAGAGCGAGGCCACGCTGTCAGGGACACGGCACCGTGCCCCGGGGGAAGGCAGCACAGGGACAGAGCAGGGCAGCCGTCCTTGGCCGTGATGGGGACCCATCTCGGGGGCTTCCTTCCCCTCCTCCCAAGCAGGGCCCGGGAGCAAATCCCCAGGCCGGGTACCCAGTCTCCTCCTCTCGGCCACCCTGCGGCGCTCCTCCTGGGCCCACCGCTCGCAGCGTCCCCAGCGCAACCTGCCCCGTCCCGCCCGGCCCGGGGGGCTCCTGGTGACCCGCTCCTCTCCCTCTCGGGCTGTGGGTGCCGCAGCAAGAGCTGGGCCGTGAGCCCCCCACCAGTGCCGCCCCGGCAGGGAGAGCAGAGGGCTCCCCTCCCCTGCGCGCACGCCGTGCCCTTCCCTGTGGCTGACGGGGGAGGGCAGCCACGCTAGGGGATGTGGAATCCTCGGGAAAATGGGCAGTTCATGATTGACAAAGGGGAAGGAAGTCAGTGGGGTGTTTGTCCCCAAGTCAAGTGAGACCAGCACCCCAGGCCGAGGCTCCCGGCCTGTCCCGTACGTCAGACAGAGGCGGCGAGTGCCGTCCTCCTGGGAACACCCCCGTGGGGGTCTGCCTGGCTCCGGGGCTTCTTGCCTCGTCGGAAGCTGCAGTCAAGGCCTGAGATATTGGGGCCTCGGTGCTGGAGGCAGGAGGGGCAGCGGAGTCTTCCCACGCGGCCTCCGTGCTGCGTCACGGCGTTGCCACAGGCCGGCAGCTGAAGACCGCGCACATTTATGACCTCCCGGTTTCCATGGATCGGGAGTCCAAGCCCCGCTTAGCTGGGTCCTCTGCCCAGGGTCCTGCAGGCTACAGTCGGGGCGTGAGCCGGGGCTGGGGTCTCATCGCCCGTCCAAGTGGGGAAGGAGCGGCTCGCTCCACTCGGTCCTCGCCCGCTGGATGCCGGGGGCCTCTGCGTCTTGCTGGCCGCCCGCGGTGCCCTGCCGCGGGGCCTCTCTGACCGAGCGGCCACAGCCTAGGCGCTTGCTTCATCCAGCCAGCAAGGAGCGGACTCCCAGCAAGACACGGCGACAGACGTGTTGCACAAACACAGCTGTGATGCTGCGGCCCCTTTGCGCGTTCTATTGCTTACAAGCAAAGACAGGTGTGCCCGCCCCCACGGGGAGGGGGTCACACAGGACACGGGCTCCAGGGGGCAGGGTCGTGAGGGCCATTTTAGAGTCTGTCCGCCGCGGCCCAGAAGGAGTCACGTCAAGGCGCCCCGGAGGGCCTCTTGAGCCTCATCAAGCTGGGTCTCCTGTGGGGGGGTCTGCTTTGGAACGGGCCTTCGAGGCTGCCACTGGGTTGTGGCCACCAGCCCCTCCCGCTGGTGACGGCCACTGGGCCGTTGGCTGTGGTTTTGTCCCAGCACGGCCTGGAGCACGGAGCCCTGCAAGCTCGCGGCGACCGGCCCGGGGACAACGCCGCTGTGGGGCCAGGACCAGAGAGCAGGCTCCCACATGCAGCCCTGGAGAGCACCACGGGGCTGCGACGGCGTCTCCTCCTGACGGGCGTAGCTGCGCAGTCCACGGGCAGGGGATGGGAGCCGTGGTGAGCTGCCACAGCGGCCCCAGGGCTTGGCTCGGCCCAGTGCAGCTCACACACAGACCAGCTCCCAGAGGCGGTGGATGCCTTGCAGGGCTGCATGGGTCCACGGCACCCTCTTCAGACCCTTGCAGGTCTGGGCAGGAGGGCAGGCTGGGCTCAGGGACCTTCTTCACTAACAAGGATGCTGACGGTAGGGGGCCCAATGGCAGCCCATCAGCTCACTCTGGGGCAGAGAGGACTAGGGGGGCAGGGAAGAGGCGCCCCAGGGTGTGGGAGAGCAGGACCCTGGTATGTACTCGATTAGCTCCCTCAGCACCCAGGGTCCCTTGGGCCACTGAGCTGGCCCCAAGCTCCAGCCTAGGTGGGCTCCACAGGTCGGATGGGCTCTGAAGCCTTGGTCAGAAACCAGGAGTCGAGAGAGGCCAAGGCACCTGAGACAGGCTTCTGACCCGGCAGAGGGGCCGGAACCCAGGTGTCCAACAGGATTCAGATCCTGCCTCTGCCGGGCAGGTGCTGGGTGCATCCCAGGACAGGGTCAGCTCCAGCAGGTCTGTATCCAAGTCCCCACCCAGCTTGGGGCCAGCACCCCACCCCCCAACCCCTGGCTCAAAACCAGGTTCTCTCGACTCTGCGCACAGTGCTGACCACTACACATGGTCCTAAGGGCCATACAGCAGCCCTGCACCCGCCTCCCCTCTCCAGGACCCGTGCCCACAGTCCTGGGCCCCCCTGTCCTAGCACCTGCCCCGGCCCCACCCCCCGGTCCCTGTGAGTGGGGACCAGAGCAGGCTTGCCCAGCAGCCTCACAGGGTCAGGGCTGCCGACCTCCAACCCGGGGCCAGGAGCAGTGGATGCAGCCCATGCGGGACTCACACAGACAGGCAGGGAGGTGCTTGTGTATTCTAAAGCCCCCCTTTGTGGGTGGGGATTGTGGGTCGGGGAGGAGCATCCTGGAGGGCTGTCTGGAGGGGGTGGGGTGGAAGAGAGGCTGGTTCGGGGCCTGGGCACAAGCAAGCAGTCTGCACCTGCCAGGAGTTGGGGGGTCCTGGCCCTGAGCAGGGCTTGTGCGGACGGGCAGATTGGAGCCCCAGCAGGGGGACAGCTGGGAGGCGCAGCGGGAGGCGGCATCCACGGGGAGCTGGGGCCAGGGCTCAGACGGAGCTGCACCTCAGCCTTGCCAAGCACAGTCCCGGCCCTGGGCTTGTCCGTCCAGGCGCACGGCATAGCGGGAATCCCAGTCTCGCTCGAACAGGCGGCGCAGCCGCTCCTGCACGGGAAGCACCCCTGGCCGGGTGCTGGAGGCTCTCTGGCTGACCACCAGGCCCACCCCTGAGGTGCTGCTGAAGTAATCTTCCGACCAGTTGGAGGTGCCTGGGGGCGGTAGATGGGGAGGGGTCCCTGGGTGACCGGGCTCCCCCAGGCCCCTCCGCAAGGCCCAGTCGTGAGGCTCAGCTGCGCTCTGGGGACAGAGGGGCACAGTGGCCACCCCGCTGCCAAAAACCCCAGCGGGGGCAGCCCTGCAGAGGCGGGAGGCCCGGCTAGCTCTCCACGCGTGTGGGGCTCCGTCCACGACTTCCCGGGACAGCTGTCCTGACTCAGTGTCCTGAAAACTCAGTGCTCAGGACTTTCGACCTGCCCCGGGTCCTGTGCTGGTCCTTAGAGGTCCCTGTGGACGCTCATGCCCTTCAGCAGCCCCACTGCCCTGAGGGGTCTGTGCTGGGTATAAGAGCAGTGTGCCCTTGAGCACCCTGGCCTGGCCACTGCTTGGGGGGGGTCACGTCCCCCTTCTGTGGGTTTATGTGGCCTCCGTGTGTCACGTGCATGGGCTTGGCACCCCTCAAAGACTCCGGGTCCTGGGGCTGCGCCACCTGGCTGCTCACCTATGTAGGCCGCCTTCTCTGTGACCATGAACTTGCTGTGGTTCACCCTGCTGAATGGGATGTTGGAGTGATTTCCCACCGGCACGATGAAGACTTTCTTGGGGGCACAGAGAGGGAGCTGTCAGGAGGGGAGGAGGGCCACCTCCCCCAGCCCGGCCCGGGGAGCAGGTCCTCACCACATCCACCGAGACACTGGCCGCGGGGTTGCTGAAAGCCTGCAAGGACCGCAGGTCGGGGAACATGCTGGGGTCCGTGTGGGGCCAGCAGCTGACCAGCAGACGCACACGCACACCCCTGTCGAAGGCGGCTGTCCGCAGTGCAGTGTCCAGCACCGGCCAGTACCTGCGGGAGGGTGGGTCAGGGTCCTTGGGCCAACAGGGGCCCTGCCTGCAGGCCGTGGGTGAGCGGGGGTCCCGGCAGGAGAGGAACCGTGCCAGGAGCTGCCCACCGGCACAGTGGATCTCCACCCCCCGGGGTCGCCGGGGTCCTGCCCAGACCCACCTGGCTGGGTGGCTGAAGCGCGTGGTGGGGAAATACTCCATCACCGAGGCGTAGATGAACTCCCTGGCGCCCCCCATCACTGATAGCAGTGCTTCCAGGTCCCGGGTGCGGCCATGCGGGCAGAGCATGGGTGGCGAGGCCTGTCCAGGGAGAGAGGTCCCTGTGACCCCAGCATGCACCCCCCCTCCAGCATGTGGGAACGTGGAGGAAGACAAGAGGTGCTCCCTGGGGAGGTGGGGAGAGAGGGGGAGTGTCTACACAGGGGCCTCGGGGCTGCCCTCGGTCTCGGCAGGGAAGCCTGGAAGCGGCAGCCCGCCCCCCACCCCAGCTCCAGGTTGGCCTGACTTCCTGGATCAAGGCAGCTGGCTGCACCAACAAAGACTTCTGTGTCTGCTCAGGTGCTCAGGCAGGGCCCCCCCGAGGGCCCCCCCAGCTCTGATGCTGGGTCTCCAAAGACCAGCCACTGGGGCAGCTGGAGGGCTGTCTGCTCCCACGCACCAGACGGAGGACCAGCCTGCCCCATCCGCCTTCCCTGCCCGAAGACCCGCAGAACCACTTGATGAGCTGGTCCTCCCCGGTCCTCCCTGGTCCTGAGCTGAAGCCCCCCAGCCCCACCCAACAGGGCGCTTGGAGGCCCCCCTCCCGGGCTGCCTGTTTCCCGTGGATGGCACGTCCTCTCCTAGAGCGGGGTCCGCGCACACCAGCCTGCTGCTGGCCGGGGGACCGCGGCCGGGTCCTGGGCGCTGGCTCCCCAGGCCGTTGCCCTGAGGCCCCGGCGGGCACCACGGCAGGGCACGGCCCTGGGGCTCTGGCAGGCCCCCTCAGCCCCTCTTACGGAGAAGTAGGCAGTGGTGGGCAGCCCGTCAAAGCGGTCCCGGAGGGGCTGGAAGCGGTTGATGTGGGACGAGAAGTTCTGGGGCCAGGCTCTGGGGAGGACCGCCTTTGGCGCCCCCAGGACCCAGTAGGTCTGGAAGGTCTTCTCCAGGTCGAGGGCCAGGCGGCTGCAGTTATAGATGATGGCGCCCAGCTCCTTCACCTGCGGGGGGACAGGGCGGCGGCTGCAGGAGGAGGCCCCTGCCGGGCAGAGCGCGGCCCCCCACACTGGCATCCGCCCACCGCAGAGTCTCCTGCTCGAGTCACAACACACAGTGTGCTCGCGGGAAGCTATGAGGTGGGGGTGCCCAGGGCACCCTGCTCGTCTTGAACACCGTATGCCAGTGATCAAAGCAACGCACGCTTGGTACCACAGAAGTGGAAAGTGCATAAAAGAAAAATCATTCTTCGCGCCCCTGTCCCACGACAGACGCAGCTGCCTTTTCCACCACCTTTCTGGGACTGGTTTTTAATGCATTGCTTTTCCTAAGAGGATCGTGCTTTGCAGTCTGCGTGTTTCCCTGGATAAAGTGGCTGGAACATCTTTGCGTGGGGTTAAATGAGACTCCCCAGGGTGAGCGCAGTGGCCGTGTGGGACTCCGTAACTTCCTGACCCAGGCTCCGGTAACTCGCAGCAGGGTGATGTACCCAAGGCTGCACGGGACATCGGGCCAAGCCCCCGGGAGCGCGGGCAGTGGATGGGCTCCAGGTGGGTCTCCCTTCCCCTGGCTCTGGACTCACCTGCGTCAGGGCCCGCCAGTCCATGTTGGCACTGCCCAGGTAGATGTGCCGTCCATCCACGACCCAGAATTTGGAGTGCAAAACGCCCCCGGTGAGCTTCCTCATAGGCACGAACCGCACCTGGGCACCTGGCCGGGGGTCAGGACCGTGTGGTGAGTTGGCTCTTGGGTACCAGCTTCACAGCGAGCCTGAGTCCTCGCAGTGGGTCTGCTCATTTACCCTCAGGGCGGTCCTGCTAAGCCCAGGCCATCAGCATCCCCACTTTCCAGGTGGGGCAACGGAGGCATGGACTGGCCCAGGACGCCTCGGGGCAGCCCCGCCCCAGAGCCCGGGGTTATAAGGATTGCTCCCCGGCTGAGCTCCCAGCCTGAGCCCACCCACAGGTCAAAGCAGCTGGGCTCAGGGGGCCCCGAGACCACCCTATGCTCTGCCCCATGGAGAACGACCCTCTGGCTCCTTGGAACCAGCCCTGGGCCCCGGTGAACTAGGGGGGCACGGGTGGCCTTTCCAGGCCTGTCCCAGGCAGCTCTGCGCTCCTTCCTTGTCCTGTGGCGCCAGCAGGTCAGGCGCCATGCTTCCCCCCGGGCCCAGGGGCCCAGGCCGGACAGGCACCTACCTTGCGCCGCCAGGACCTGCAGGTCCGTGGAGTTCTTGGCCAATGACTGGCTGTTGGTAGCCACAACCAGGGAAATGTTCTTGTCCAGCAGCTGCTCCAGCTTCTGTAGAAGGGCCTCCCCCTGCAAGGCCAGGCCAGCCATGAGGGGTGACCCCCTGCCAACTAGGAAGGACCCAGACCTCTCCCGGGAGGCCACCCTGCCCACCCACAGCTCACAGAGAGATGGACCCTGGCACCGGATGGGGCGCACGGCCTGCAGCCGTCAAGTCGGGGTGGGGAGGGCCGGGGCATACCAGCCGGGAGGACGAGTCGTTGACCCCAACGTCGGGCCCTGTGAGGGACCAGTAGAAGGAAGCCATGTGGATGCTCTCCTGGGCGGTGTCTAGCAGCTGCAGCCAGGCCTGGGCCAGGGGCCGGGCAGACGGGCGGCCAGCTGCAGAGGGCAGGTCCTGGGGGATGCTCTCCACAAGGACAAGCCTGCAGAGAGAGCCCATGGGGCCTGAGCAGAGCACAGATGCCACCAACCTGCCTCATATCGTCTGCTCTGTGCCCACTGGCCAGGCCGGAGGGGTCGCTGCCGACACGGGGCCCGGGCCCAGGCCCAGGGCGCACGACGGGGAGCCGACTAGACTGGACAGGGCAGGTGTGAGCCCAGCCAGCCCGCTGGGGGCGGTGACACCCAGGGCAGGAGAGCCAGGGAGACAGCAGAGCAGGTTAGGGGCCCAGACCCCGCCCCAATCCCAGGCGGGCCCTCCTGCTCAAGAGCCGTTGCTCTGAGCAGAGATTTGGGTCTGGGCTGCCTACTGGTGGGGAGACCTTTGGAGGCGGCCCAAGCTGACCCCGAGGAAGGGCTGGACCAGGAGGTGGTGGGAGCCCCTCTCGGGCTATGCGGGCCGGCCCATGTGCAGGACTCCCCCCCACAGCAGGAAGCGTGGGAAGGCAGGCGGTCCAGCGCTGGGAACAGCAACGCCACCCCTGCGATGGGAGAGCTGAGAAGCCGCAAGCCTCAGCCCCGGCGGCACCCGGCTTCGCGGCCTTGGCGGAGCCCCCAGGGGGCGGCCTGTGTTTGTTGCAAAGAGCACCCCAAGTCCACCCGACCTCCACCCCCGCCCCCGTCCATCTGGGCCTTGGGGCCAGCCTTCCCGGCTAGCTGCATCTTCCAAGAGGTGGCAGAGGGCCGTGCTTATCCCGCGGGGCAGGTCCAAAGGTGGAAGCTCGCGGAGGGGCAGAGAGCGCGGCCGCCGCCCGGCAGACCTGGCAGGCTCACTCACCGGCACGAGTCCTGCAGCTGCTGCCCGGCCTCCCCTCTCTGGGACCCCCAGGCCAGGCTGGAGCCATGGCCCCCGGACCCGGTGGGCCCTTCCCCGGGGTGCAGCTGGCCACAGGGGGCGGGGAGGTGCACCTGCCACAGGACGTAGGCGAGAGTCACGGCGCCAAGCCACAGCATGGCCAGCATTCCCAGCATCTGCAACTGGAGAAGGGTGTCACCATGGGGTCCTCAGATGGGTGGGCTGGGGTGGCCCCTCCAGTGCTGACGGAGACTGTCCCCGGCTCCCGGGGAGGGCTAGGTATGCTGGGGGGGCAGGTGGGCAAGGGACAGGGGAAGATGGTGCTGATGTGGGGCGGGTCAGGTGGCCTGGGACTGTCCCTCGGGGGCCCCCCGAGACAGGGATTGGAGAATGAGGGCAGCCCTCTGGTCTGGCTGGTTTCGTCCTTGCCACTCTGGTGCGGGGTTCTGCGAGGCTGCAGAGCCCCCTCCCTTGGGCCCCCCATTCTGCCGCGCCGGCCTCTCTGTCCTGTGGGCAGTGGGCCCTGTGGAAAAGGGCCGGGCAGGGGCCACTGATGCTCTCTGCGGAGGTCTCAGCCCTGACAGGGCGACCCGGTGTCACCCACAGTCTCGGGCCCAGCGCCGGGCTTCTCCCCACTGCCCCCTGGGTGGCCTAGCCTGCAGGTGGTGACTCTGTGTGGAGCCTGGAGCTGGTGTGTGTCTGTGTGTCCGTCTGTCCCGGCCCCCGGGCTGTTTTCCCCTCTCTCGGTTTCCCTCTCAGTGGGCATCTGGGTGTCTGAGTCTCGGTTCCTGCTTTTAGCCACATGTGTGGCGAGGCCCAGAGCCATTTCTGCTTTCAGCCGCGTCCTCCGTAAGACCCGTAAAAAGCCACTTCCCTTCCCAGGGCTGGGCCCCCCGCCCGGCCCCCGGCAGCCCCCGCCTGGGATTCTGGACCCCTCGTCCTGGCTGGGAAGGCACGGCGGGGACTGAGCTGGGACCCTTCGCTGTCGTGCGGGGGGCTGGGGAGCCCGAGGTACTGTGTGGGGCTCCCCGCCTGCAGCAGGACGCGGCCCCCTCAGGGCAGTTACTCCCACAGAGAGCTGGAAGCCAGGCGTCTCCCCGTAGTAGCCTCAAATGTCACTGTGGGTGACAGTGGTGCCCCCGAGTTCAGCATGCCCCCCGGGGGGTGCAGCGAGGGGCCTGAGGAGCCAGAACAAGGCCTCGGGCAGAGCGACGGAGCCCCCCCCAAGGGGAGCGAGGGGCCTCACGCTGCTCCCCTTCCTCACAGAAGAGCCACGCTCAGGGGGCTGCCCCCCACCCCGGGGGTTCATCAGGCCTTCGCTGGCTCTCAGAGAGGCGGTCAGTGTGAAGCCCGGGGCTGGGGCTGGTGAAGGGGGCACCAGGGACATCCTTGGACTGGTGCCCCGAGTGTCCCAGGCAGAGGGCAGGTCAGAGCCCCGCAGCCCCCATCTGGGACTGGAGCTGTCCCAGGCACCTCCCCGACCTCCAATGCCCAGAGCACATCCGCTCCTCCTCTTGGTCCCTGGGAACAGCACTGGGGCCGGGGGAGCCCGCCCCCAGGGCAGCCCTAAGGGGCGGCTGTGGAGCTGCTCACGCACTGCAGCCCCGGCAAGCCCGTGGCCCTGGGCTGGGGCCGGCTGTGGGGAGAGCGTGGCCCACTGGCTGCCAGCCGGGACCCTGCAGGCATCAGAGGTCACGGCTGCAGGCGTGGAACTTCCTGCCCTGCGGAACGTGGGGTGAGGCTGCCAGGCCCCGGCTGGGGCAGTCGGCCCGCTGTCAGCTCGCTGGGAGGCCCGGAGGCCTGGTGGTCCCCGTGGCCCAGACTGGAGGAGGACCGGGTGGTTTGTAGGCCCGGCCGGAGGCTCTGTGATCCCCTGGGCCCGGGCTTGCTGGCAGCTGGCTTCCCTGGGGCCTCTGGCCTGGCTCTCCCACCCGGCCCCGGGCTCCCTGGACTCACCTCTGGGGGTCGTGCCTTGGTGTGCATCTCGCTCCAGACACAGACTGCAGGCCCTCGGCTCTCTGTGCGGGCAGCAGGCTCCGGTGATTGCCTCCACCCCTAGCCCACCTGCCTCCTCTCTGCAGCCTGCTGCTTCCTCTTCTGGCCACTTCCTCTTCGTCCCGAGTACCTCCCTCTGCACCCCGGACAGACAGACATCTGGAGCTGGGTGGGCCAGCCAGAGGGTGGGGCTGGGAACTTTCACCTCCAGAGAAAATCTCTCTCCCTGGCCCCATCTCCCAAGGTGGAGGCATTCTCTAGCCACAGGCCCGGGTGTCGGTTGGGCTCAGTGTAAGCAAGAGACCAAAGGAGCCTTGGCTTGAACAGGATTGTTCGTTTCTCTCTCATGCTAACCAGGTTCAGGGGCCGGTGGCCTAGAGACTGTATTTGCTTCACAGCAGTGGGGGGCCGGGTCCCTCCAGGTCCCTCCTCAGGAATCCTAGCTCCCAATACCTAGGGTTGACTAGCAGCCTCGTGGCCCCACAATGGCTGCTGGAGGTCAGCCATCAGCTCTGTGTTCCCAGGAGCATAGTTCTGGCTTCCCTTAGTCTGTTCAGGCTGCTATAACAAAACACCATGGACTGGGCGCCTTGTAAATAGCAGACATTTGCTCCTCACAGCTCTGGGGGCTGGGAGTGCAAGGTCAAGGCCCCGGCAGGTTGGGTCCTGGTTCTCTCCTTGCTGTGTCCCCCCAAGAGGGAAGGGCTGGGGGCTCTCCGGGGGCTCTTTCATAAGGCACTAATCCCATCACAAGGGCTCCACCCGTCTGACCTGGCCACCTCCTGGAGGTCCACCTCCCCTCCCCACGGAGTCTCTGCTCCTCTTCCCTGCTCCCGGGCGCTGGGAGTGAGGCAGAGATGGCTCATCCTGCAGGAACGCCATCTGGGGGCGGCAGGGACCACAGGTCCTGCTGACTCTCAGCTCCCCAACGAGTGAGTGATGCTACATCTGACTGTTAGAAAAATGTGCTTCCGGCCTTGCTCCCAGCAAGCACCCAGGGCTAATGCTCAGCGCCTTGCAGATTCCTGGTTCCTTATCAGCCTGCGCCTGGGGGGCGCAGACCACTGGTTTCCTGCGTTATTCCCTCTGCATTTGCCTGGCCAACAGCCTTCGGTAAGAAGTTTCCAACTCAGCCGAAACATTACAAGGGCTGTCTTTCTTTTCTTGCTTTTTAATTTTATTATCCACCTTCCCCTGTTTTATCGAGATGTAACTGACATATAACATATTGGTTTCCAGGGTACAACATAACTAACGATCGAGATTTGTATATACTGCAAAATGACCACCATGAGGGGTTCGGTTAACAGCCGTCACCTCACAGGAACGTTTAAGACGTGCTCTCTTGGCAGCTTCCCAGGATACAGCACCGCGCTCACCGCATTGCCCATCCCATCCCAGGACCCCCAGATGACGGAAGGTGTGTCCTCACGACCCCTCGCGTTCTCCCCCCTCCCCCACCCCCGGCACCTGCCAGTCCGTTCTCTGTATCTGTGAACTCGGTTTTTTCAGATTCCACACCTGGAAGTGATCATACGGTATTTGTCTTTCTCTCACTCAGCTCGCTTCACAGTATGCCCTCCAGGTCTACCCACGCGGCAGGATTTCTTTCTTTTTTATGGTTGAGTAGTATTCCACCGTGTGTGTGAATACACACCACACCTTCTTCACCCATCCGTCTGCTGATGGACACGTGCGTCGTCCTCACGTCTCAGCTGCTGTGGATCACGCCGCAGTGGACATGGGAGTGCACGTCTTGCTCAGGGACCACAGCAAGCTTTTCTTCCCTGCTTTGGGTTTGTACTTATATCTCTTCTCTCTTACATGGAAACTTTTGGTTCCTAACATTAAAATAATTACTTACTAGCTTTGGCTTATAACAGGTTTAACACAATTTCCAAGTAACAATTCTAATATCACTACAAACAATAATACTACGAACTGAAATTTAAGACTTCTCTGCAAGGGTTTTCTTGCTGTTGTATCTGACCAAGGATGTGAAAATCAAGCACCGTGTTCTTTTTTTTTTTTTTTAAGATTTTATTTATTTATTTGACAGAGAGAGAGATAGTAAGAGCAGGAACACAAGCAGGGGGAGCAGGAGAGGGAGAAGCAGGCTTCCCGCCGAGCAGGGAGCCCGATGCGGGACTCGATCCCAGGACTCTGGGATCATGACCTGAGCCGAAGGCAGACGCTTAACGACTGAGCCACCCAGGCGCCCCCAAGCACCATGTTCTAAAGTCAGTCTTTTAAAACCAAAGCGAGAGGCATCACGATGCCTGACTTCCAGCTCTATTACAAAGCTGTCATCGTCAAGACAGCATGGTACAGGCACAAAAACAGACACATAGATCAATGGAACAGAATAGAGAGCCCAGAAATGGACCCTCAACTCTATGGTCAAATAATCTTCGACCAAGCAGGAAAGAATATCCAATGGAAAAAAATCTCTTCAATAAGTGGTGCTTGGAAAACTGGACAGCCACATGCAGAAGAATGAAACTTGGCCATTCTCTAACGCCATACACAAAGATAAACTCAAAATGGATGAAAGACCTCAATGTGAGACGGGATTCCATCAAAAGCAGCAACCTCTTCGACATCGGCCGCAGCAACTTCTTGCTCAACACGTCTCCAAAGGCAAGGGAAATAAAAGCAAAAATGAACTATTGGGACTCCATCAAGATAAAAATCTTCTACGCAAGCAAAGGAAACAGTCAACAAAACTAAAATGCAACCCACTGAATGGGAAAAGATATTTGCAAATGACACTACAGATAAAGGGCTTGTTTCCAAAGATCTATAAAGAACTTCTCAAACTCAACACACAAAGAACAAAGAATCCTGTCAAGAAATGGGCAGAAGACAGACACTTCTCCAAAGAAGACATATAAATGGCTAACAGATGCATGAAAAAATGTTCAACATCATTAGCCATCAGGGAAATACAAATCAAAACCACACTGAGATACCACTCTACACCCGTTAGAATGGCTAAAATTAACAAGACGGGAAGCAACGATGTTGGTGAGGATGCGGAGAAAGGGGAACCCTCTTACACTGTTGGTGGGAATGCAAGCTGGTGCAGCCACTCTGGAAAACAGTATGGAGGGTCCTCAAGATGTTAAAAATAGAACTACCCTATGACCCAGCAATTGCACTACTTGGTATTTACCCCAAAGATACAGATGTAGTGAAAAGAAGGGGTACGTGCACCCCAATGTAGGGTATTATGCTAAGCAAAATAAGCCAGAGAAAGATAATTATCATATGATCTCACTCATATGTGAAATTTAAGAAACAAAACAGATGAACATAGGGGAAGGGAGGGGAAAATAAGATAAGATGAAATCAGAGAGGGAGGCAAACCATAAGAGACTCTTATCATAGAAAACAAACTGAGGGTTGCTGGAGGGAGGTGGGGGGATGGGGTAACCGGGTGATGGGCATTAAGGAGGGCATGTGAGGTAATGAGCACTGGGTGTTATATGCAATGGATGAATCACTAAATTCTACCCCTGAAACTAATAATACACCCTATGTTAACTAACTTGAATTTAAATAAAATTTTCAAAGAAGAAAAGAAAGAAAGTCCGTGTTCTTCCCCAGGTGAGCATCTACCTGGAACGGGTTATTGGGTAAGGCACGAGACCCGTTTTCCTGGTGGATAATTAGGAGTCCTCTTGTTCTGTTCTGCTGGCTCTGTGTTTATCAAGTCTCCAGATGTGTGTGGGTCTTCCTTGTCTCTTCCGCTGATGTGCTCACCCTGGCGCCCAAGCGGCCCTGCCCCATCCCCGGGGCGCCCGCGAAGGCGCCGGGACCGGTAGACCAGTCCCTCCCCTTCACTAGGACCACCGCGTGCTTCGTACACATCCATCGAGATCACCCTATATTTTCCTCCTTGAATCTGTTAATGAAGTAAATCAGGGATTTTCTCAGGTTAAATTAACCTTGGGGTCCTGGGATAGCCCCGTAAGAACCGTGACCTACATTGCGTGCGGTTGGATTGGCTTCGGCAGTAAGGGATTTCCAGTTGTACATCTGTGCTCACAACTCCCGCTGGTGACATGTCGTGTTTCCCTTCATGCGTCACCTGGTCTTGGTATTTAAATATATTAGAGTCCTAGGGGCGCCTGGGTGGCTCAGTCAGTTAAGCCTCCAACTCTTGATTTCTGCTCAGGTCATGATCTCACGGTCATGAGATCCAGCCCACACTGGGCTCCACACTGGACATGGAGCCTTCTCAAGATTTTCTCTCTCTCCCTCTGCCCCTACCCCACCACTTGAGCTCTCTTTCTCTCTCTCAAAAAAAAAAAAAAATTATATTAGAGTCCTAGAATGAATTGGGTATGCACCCTTTTATTCCTGTATTTTGAACTTTGTAAAACAGGCTAAAATACTCTTTTTTAATTTTGGTGGAGCATGGAAATCTTAGATCGTTTACATCTTTGTGGGAAGATTGTAAATTATGAATTCAATTTCCTTAATGGTTATAGGACCGTTCAGGCTCTCTGTTTCTCTGAGAGCCAACTTTGGCAAATCACATTTTTCTAGGAATGTGTCCTTTTGTTTAACGTTGCAAGCTGTCTTGACAAAGGTTATTCACGATGCTTGCCTTCCTAGCCGTTCACTCGGGCACGTCCACAGGGATGACCCCTTTGCGTTCCTCAGACTGGCTTTGTGCCTCTTATCTTTCTTCCTCGGTCACTGGAGATCTTGCCAGAATTTTGGCGATTTTATTTTTTTTTCCAAGAAATCAACTTTTATATTTTTTGTTTTCTGTTATGGTTCCATTTTAAATTTGTTCCCGTTTTTCACCTTTATTACATCCATTCTTCGACTTCCCGTCATATGTTTCTGTGGCTATTTTTCTGCCTTAAGCTGTGTGTTTGGCTCTAATTTCCAGCTGTTCCTTTGCTGCTACAAAGTGCCTAAGGGATCCGTTTTCTGCAGATCTCTGCTTCCGCTGTGCCCCATGATCTCCTATGTGACTTGGCCGGTATTTACTTCTGAGTATTTTACATTTTTTACTGTTTTTTCTTTTACCTGTGAATGATCTGGAAATCTGGTTTAGGGGCACCCGGCTGGCTCGGTTGTTGGAGTGTGTGACTCTTGATCTCAGGGTCGTTTGTTCAAGCCCCATGTTGGCTGTAGAGATTACTTAAAAATAAAATCTTAAAAGAAAAAAAAAAGAAATCTGGTTTAAGATTTCCGAGTGTACGTGAAGCTCTTTCTTCATCACTGATTCCTAGTTTAATCGAGTTTGGGTTAGAAAACAAGGCCCGCGCCGCACTGTATCTTTAACGTTGGTCAAGAACAGGCCTCGTGTGCACATGTGTGCTCAGGATCTGTAAACGTGTTTGGAAAGAACGCACAGCCTCCGCTGGGGAGGGTCTGGGGTCTAGATCCATCTTTGAATCCAGCTCAGGGATGTGCTTTCAAATCTTATACATCACTTATTAATGTTTCGTCTCCGTGGCCCAGGAATGACTGGGAGACTGTGCCAGTCTGTGGATTCCCACGCACACTCCTGCTTCCCGCGGTGAAGTCTGCACTTCCCGTGTCTCTGCTTCCCCCGACTAAACCACCTGTCACCATGCTCTCACTTTCCCTCGTAACAGCTTCTGTCTTAAAGTCTATGTCGTCCGATTTTAATTTAGTTTAAATTTGTGTGGCTTTTTAAAAATATCCTTCTACCTTAGGTTGATGTGCATTCTTGAATTTCAGGTCTGTGTCTAGTAAGTAACAGAGCTGGAATTTAATTTTTTATTTTTTTATTTTTTTAAGATTTTTATTTATTTATTTGACAGAGAGAGACAGTGAGGGAGGGAACACAAGCAGGGGGAGTGGCAGAGGGAGAAGCAGTTTTCCCAAGGAGCAGGGAGCCCGATGCGCGGCTCGATCCTGGGACCTGCGATCACGACCTGAGCCAAGCTGAAGGCAGACACTTTTAAATTTTATTTATTTATTTATTTATTTGAGAGAGAGAGAATGAGAGACAGAGAGCATGAGAGGGAGGAGGGTCAGAGGGAGAAGCAGACCCCCTGCCGAGCAGGGAGCCTGATGCGGGACTCGATCCCGGGACTCCAGGATCATGACCTGAGCCGAAGGCGGTCGCTTAACCGACTGAGCCACCCAGGCGCCCTGAAGGCAGACACTTAACGACTGAGCCACCCAGGCGCCCCTCCAGGCACAGAATTCTTGATAGACAGTTATTTTCCCTGGAATCCGAGGTCCTTAGGGTCCTGTTATTGCTGAGAACTGCCATCATTCCTGTGTAAGGGATTTCTTTACTCTGTGGTTGTTTTTAAAACCTTCTCCTTGTCTGTGGTGTTCTTCACTGTTACTAGGGTGTAGCTAGGTGGCTTCCTTTTTTTTTTTAAGTTTATTTATTTAAGTCATCTCTACACCCAATGCAGAGCTCGAACTCATGACCCCGAGATCAAGAGTCACACACTGTATGGACTGAGCCAGCCGGGCGCCACCAACAGTTTCCTTTCCTGATCCCGTGTGGCACACACCGCGTGTGCTTCCCGTGCCTACGGAGCGTGTTCGCCGGCTTGCTGGAGCTCCTGCAGCGCAGAGCTGCGCCTCGGCGGCTCACACAGCAGGCATTTACTGTCCCAGCCTTGGAGGCTGGAAGGGCCAGTCCCCCCGGGCTCGTTGTTCCTTCTGTCTAGAGCTTAGAAGGATGCGGGGGCAAGGTTTCTGAGTTAGACCGAGGAAAGAAGGAGCTGACACCGAGTCCCGAGACCCAGAAGGTCCCCTTTATGATGAAGCCGCCCCCCAGGTGACCCCTGATGCTCCCACATCTTCAGGGGTGCGGTCCGACTCCCTGTTTTAATCGTGTCCTTGCAGGTGAGGTCTGGCAGGACCCCACACGTGTGGGAAAGGTTTATGGTTATTATCCTCACAGCCGGCACGGGACCCCAGGGCAGCGCGGGGCTTGGGCACAGGCGGAGGGGGCAGCTGGGAGCACTGCTTGCCCGCGGTTTCTGCGGGAAGGAGAGCGGGGCCAGGGAGCAGCCTTAGGCTACGCATGCCCCTGGGGAGTCCGTGAGCCTGTGTTCCCTGCGGTGTGAATGCGGAGCTTACAACTCTCTCAAGGCTCCTGGTGTCCATCGTGAGGACCAGTTTGCTTGGGGCTGATTGTAATAAAACATCAGTTTATAGAAATGACAAGAATGGCTAATTCACTGCAGCCCCCTGGTCCGGTGTGGCCTCTCCACAAGTCCGTGGGCTGCACACCGGGCTGCTCCCATGAGCACGTCATCTGCTTCACCCCACGTCTACCCATGGGCCCCCTTCACACAACAGAGTTTGTTTCCTTTTGTTTTTTACCCAAAGCGGAGGTGGACACCAACAGGTTTCCGCAAGTTCATTCGCCGGCAAGTGGGTTGTCCACCTTTGGGTGCTGACGGGGAGAGTGGTCCTCGATCACTCCCAGCATTGGGCAGACCCCCCAGTGTCGGGCAGGCCCCCCCAGCTGGGGCAGAACCCCCAGCATCACACAGATCCCCCAGTGTCGGGCAGGCCCCCCAGTGTCGGGCAGGCCCCCCAACATCGGGTGAACCTCCAGCATCATGCAGATCTCCCAGCATTGGGCAGGTCCCCCAATGTCGGGCAGGTCCCCCAGCATCGGGCGAACCCCCAGCTGAGGCAGAACCCCCGGCATCAGGCAGACCAGGGCCTAACCGGGCCTCACCGAGCTGCAACCGTGGCCCCAGTCCAGCCAAGGCGTGCTCCGTGGAGTCTGACAAAGCATTTGCGTGCGTTTTCGTCATCCTTTATCCACGTCTTGCTCTTCGAAGTCCTGAATCCACCACGTGGCTGGAAGCAAACTCCCTCGTCTTCCCCTCCCTGGCTGGCCACCCTGGCATCTAACGGGAGGCTGGGCTTTGAGCCTGCTGCTAAGTGTTCTCTCCACCCTCTGAACAAAAGGAACTGTGCTTCCAACAACTGCCTCGGGGATTCTGTTCATTTACCTCTGGGGTGCCAGCCCCCCTTTTCTGGGATGCTCCCCAGTCATTGTCATGGTCTCCTGCTCAGGGGCTACTGAGATGTGCCACCCATTTCCCGGTCTCTTCACTCGGTGGGCTTGCACATCCCTCCTTCTCCAAGCTCCCATCCTTCCTGGATTCTTGCATCCCGGCTGGGAAAGCAGGAAAGCTCGAGGCTTCACCGTCCGAGAATGTCTCTCCCTCACTCTGGAATGACGGTTTAGCTGGGTGACAATTCTCTTCCAGTCGCTGAAGGTCCCGACCTCGGACGCGGCTCCCCGTGGAGGAATGGGCGTCCGTCCACCTGCTGTCCCTCTGAAGGCTGCTTCTCTTACCTCCCCGTTTGCTTTGAAGGTTTTCTCTCTGTCTTGGGTCTTCTGGGTTTCAGCGTGGCGTGTCCAGGTGAGGATGGTTCTCATCCACCCACCTTGGGGCTTGGAGCTCTTAAAGTGGAGGATTCATGCCTGTGATCATTTCTAGAACATTCTCAGCCGTTATCTCTTTGGCTACGGCCTCTGCCTATTTTCTGTATCCTCACATTGTGAAACTCAGGCGAAGTGTGTGCTGAGCTTCTACACCCCGCGTCCTGTGCCTCCGACTCCCCTGCTGCAGGTCTTCACCTCAACCTTTGCATCCTGCTGACGTCCAGCCGCCTCAGGTGCGTCTTTAGCTCTGTTTACTAGCTGCTCGGCATTCTCTGAGGTTTCCATTTCTGACCGCAGGTTTTTTACTCCCACCCAGAGCCTGGGAAAGAGATGAGCTTCCCTGCTCTCTCCCGGGCCCTGGGTAGGGTTCTCTTACCCTTCTCCCTGTGCGTACAGCCTTGAGGACACTCAGCTCTGAGCAGGATTCGTAATTTCACCTCTGCTCCTGCTGGGCACGAGTCCTCTGTCCTGAGTGCGTGTGGACAGACAAAAAGTAACAAAATTGGTAGACCCCAGCAAGACTGAGCAAGAGAGAGGGAAGGTATGAATCACCACTATTTAGGGTGAAAATGAGAGCACGGAAACAGGTCCCACAGACACTAAAAAGAAAGCAAGAGAATATTATGAACAATTTTATGTTAATACATTCACTTTCCATTCCTCATTACTGTTTTGAATTCTTACTGCAGTATAATGTACACATGTTGGAGGGTGCAGATTTTCTGGTGTACAGAGCTGATGTGGGGAACAGAGCTGGATTGGGGAACAGAGCTGGATTGGGGAACAGAGCTGGCGTGGGGAACAGAGCTGGCGTGGGGAACAGAGCTGGATTGGGGAACAGAGCTGGTGTGGGGAACAGAGCTGGCATGGGGAACAGAGCTGGCGTGGGGAACAGAGCTGGATTGGGGAACAGAGCTGGATTGGGGAACAGAGCTGGATTGGGGAACAGAGCTGGCGTGGGGAACAGAGCTGGCGTGGGGAACAGAGCTGGATTGGGGAACAGAGCTGGTGTGGGGAACAGAGCTGGCGTGGGGAACAGAGCTGGCGTAGGGAACAGAGCTGGATTGGGGAACAGAGCTGGATTGGGGAACAGAGCTGGCGTGGGGAACAGAGCTGGCGTGGGAAACAGAGCTGGATTGGGGAACAGAGCTGGCATAGGGAACAGAGCTGGCGTGGGGAACAGAGCTGGATTGGGGAACAGAGCTGGATTGGGGAACAGAGCTGGCGTGGGGAACAGAGCTGGCGTGGGGAACAGAACTGGATTGGGGAACAGAGCTGGATTGGGGACAGAGCTGGCGTGGGGAACAGAGCTGGCGTGGGGAACAGAGCTGGCGTGGGGAACAGAGCTGGATTGGGGAACAGAGCTGGTGTGGGGAACAGAGCTGCATTGGGGAACAGAGCTGGATTGGGGAACAGAGCTGGCGTGGGGAACAGAGCTGCATTGGGGAACAGAGCTGGCGTGGGGAACAGAGCTGGCGTGGGGAACAGAGGTGGCGTGGGGAACAGAGCTGCATTGGGGAACAGAGCTGCATTGGGGAACAGAGCTGGACTGGGGAACAGAGCTGCATTGGGGAACAGAGCTGCATTGGGGAACAGAACTGGCGTGGGGAACAGACCTGCATTGGGGAACAGAGCTGGTGTGGGGAACAGAGCTGCATTGGGGAACAGAGCTGGATTGGGGAACAGAGCTGCATTGGGGAACAGAGCTGGCGTGGGGAACAGAGCTGGATTGGGGAACAGAGCTGGATTGGGGAACAGAGCTGGCGTGGGGAACAGAGCTGGCGTGGGGAACAGAGCTGGCGTGGGGAACAGAGCTGGATTGGGGAACAGAGCTGGATTGGGGAACAGAGCTGGATTGGGGAACAGAGCTGGCGTGGGGAACAGAGCTGGCGTGGGGAACAGAGCTGGATTGGGGAACAGAGCTGGTGTGGGGAACAGAGCTGGTGTGGGGAACAGAGCTGGATTGGGGAACAGAGCTGGCGTGGGGAACAGAGCTGCATTGGGGAACAGAGCTGCATTGGGGAACAGAGCTGGCGTGGGGAACAGAGGTGGCGTGGGGAACAGAGCTGGATTGGGGAACAGAGCTGCATTGGGGAACAGAGCTGGATTGGGGAACAGAGCTGGCGTGGGGAACAGAGCTGGCGTGGGGAACAGAGCTGGATTGGGGAACAGAGCTGGTGTGGGGAACAGAGCTGGTGTGGGGAACAGAGCTGCATTGGGGAAGAGAGCTGGATTGGGGAAGAGAGCTGGCGTGGGGAACAGAGCTGGCACGGGGAACAGAGCTGGCGTGGGGAACAGAGCTGGTGTGGGGAACAGAGCTGGTGTGGGGAACAGAGCTGGATTGGGGAACAGAGCTGCATTGGGGAACAGAGCTGGTGTGGGGAACAGAGCTGGAGTGGGGAACAGAGCTGGAGTGGGGAACAGAGCTGGCGTGGGGAACAGAGCTGGCGTGGGGAACAGAGCTGATGTGGGGAACAGAGCTGGCGTGGGGAACAGAGCTGGATTGGGGAACAGAGCTGGCGTGGGGAACAGAGGTGGCGTGGGGAACAGAGCTGGATTGGGGAACAGAGCTGCATTGGGGAACAGAGCTGGATTGGGGAACAGAGCTGCATTGGGGAACAGAGCTGGATTGGGGAACAGAGCTGGCGTGGGGAACAGAGCTGCATTGGGGAACAGAGCTGGTGTGGGGAACAGAGCTGGTGTGGGGAACAGAGCTGGATTGGGGAACAGAGCTGGTGTGGGGAACAGAGCTGCATTGGGGAACAGAGCTGGATTGGGGAACAGAGCTGGTGTGGGGAACAGAGCTGCATTGGGGAACAGAGCTGGTGTGGGGAACAGAGCTGGATTGGGGAACAGAGCTTGCGTGGGGAACAGAGCTGGCGTGGGGAACAGAGCTGGCGTGGGGAACAGAGCTGGATTGGGGAACAGAGCTGGCGTGGGGAACAGAGCTGGCGTGGGAAACAGAGCTGCACTGGGGAACAGAGCTGGATTGGGGAACAGAGCTGGATTGGGGAACAGAGCTGGCGTGGGGAACAGAGCTGGCGTGGGGAACAGAGCTGGTGTGGGGAACAGAGCTGGATTGGGGAACAGAGCTGGTGTGGGAAACAGAGCTGGTGTGGGGAACAGAGCTGGATTGGGGAACAGAGCTGGCGTGGGGAACAGAGCTGCATTGGGGAACAGAGCTGCATTGGGGAACAGAGCTGGCGTGGGGAACAGAGCTGCACTGGGGAACAGAGCTGGATTGGGGAACAGAGCTGCATTGGGGAACAGAGCTGGTGTGGGGAACAGAGCTGGTGTGGGGAACAGAGCTGGCGTGGGGAACAGAGCTGCACTGGGGAACAGAGCTGGATTGGGGAACAGAGCTAGTGTGGAGAACAGAGCTGGATTGGGGAACAGAGCTGGATTGGGGAACAGAGCTGGCATGGGGAATAGAGCTGCACTGGGGAACAGAGCTGGATTGGGGAACAGAGCTGGTGTGGGGAACAGCGCTGGATTGGGGAACAAAGCTGGATTGGGGAACAGAGCTGCTTTGGGGAACAGAGCTAGCGTGGGGAACAGAGCTGGGGTGGGGAACAGAGCTGCACTGGGGGACAGAGCTGCTTTGGGGAACAGAGCTAGTGTGGGGAACAGAGCTGGATTGGGGAACAGAGCTGGTGTGGGGAACAGAGCTGCATTGGGGAACAGAGCTGGATTGGGGAACAGAGCTGCTTTGGGGAACAGAGCTAGCATGGGGAACAGAGCTGCATTGGGGAACAGAGCTGGTGTGGGGAACAGAGCTGCATTGGGGAACAGAGCTGCTTTGGGGAACAGAGGTGGCGTGGGGAACAGAGATGGCGTGGGGAACAGAGGTGGCGTGGGGAACAGAGCTGGCCTGGGGAACAGAGCTGGCGTGGGGAACAGAGCTGGCGTGGGGAACAGAGCTAGCATGGGGAACAGAGCTGGTGTGGGGAACAGAGTTGGATTGGGGAACAGAGCTGGATTGGGGAACAGAGCTGCATTGGGGAACAGAGGTGGTGTGGGGAACAGAGGTGGTGTGGGGAACAGAGGTGGTGTGGGGAACAGAGCTGCATTGAGGAACACAGCTGGTGTGGGGAACAGAGCTAGCGTGGGGAACAGAGCTGGATTGGGGAACAGAGCTGGACTGGGGAACAGAGCTGGCATGGGGAACAGAGCTGGCGTGGGGAACAGAGCGGATACCAGGGACTCCTGTGCTGTGGTCGAGAGGCCTGGAGAACAGGGTCTGTGGCAGCTCGCCTTGTGGGCTGACAGCAGGCTGAACACTTTCCCCAGCCCACTTGTCCAGCTCCTCTGGGTCCTCCCTGCAGCTGGAGTTGGGGGATGCGACCCTGCCCCCCGCCAGGGTCTAAGACCGGAGGCCCTAGGCACTCAGCGGTGTGACGTCACCACAGCCCTGGTGTCAAGTTGGGCATGCTCCAAAGCCATGAACCGCGGGGAGGAATTGGAAGGAGCTGTGGCTCGGCAATCGGTGCCCAGGCCCCTCGGCTGGTACATGTCTGCAGAACAGCCTACCTGAGGGTGCTTCTGGTCGTCCTGTCCTTGAATGTTGGAATAAAATAACTTCTCTTTTGAGGAGCAACGTCTGAAACTTCCCTGCTGCTTTCTCGCCCACAGCACCCCCTGGTGGCAAGGTCTGGGCATTGCAGCATGCCTGGTCTGGGGGAAAAATGGGATTTCCCGGCGAATGAAAGGAGACCCCGCGGGCCAAGCATCCCCACCCCAGACACCAACGGTGGAGAAAGGAGCTCAAGGTAACAGACGCCGGGATCTTGCCATGTGATAGAATGATTTATTAGAACAAATTCCATGACAACTCATATAAAATAACCGTTTTCTGAAAGACATCCATGAGACCACCTGAGGACACACATACAGAAGTACCTCCAAGAAGCCAGACAAATAAGTTACCGATCCCAAGTCGAAGGCTGGAAGGGGGAGGAACAGGAATTTGTGAATAAAAAAACGTGTACGGCAATCACTGAGGGTGGGTGCATGAGAATGGCCACTGTTCGTTTCCAGGGGACAGGCTGTGGGCAACTGTGTGGGGCATGCAGGAGGCCGGAGGGGCCCAGCGCCGCCTCCGTGTGGACACAGCAGGCTCGAGGGGCGGGGTTCCGGCAGGGAGCCCACCACCACTCACACACATACGTAAACATCACAGGGGGGGCACAGGACCCATGCACGCAACTCCACGTCAGCTAAATGTAAACACAGAGACACACATCACCCGTGGCGGCCCGGACTCACACCCACTGGCCCCGGGCCCCATCCCGCAATCGCCACTCACAGAGGTACCAGGCACGGTGCAGAGCGACCCGCCCCCACCTGCCACAGCCCACGGGCTCTTTGGCTTAGAGGCTCCAGAAACATCCCCCCTGCCCCGGCGGGGGGGTGCTCTGCCCACCCGGCATGTTCCCCGCTGAAAGAACCCTGAGAAGGCAAGACTGTCCCTGGGGGCCCCTCCCTGCCCCCCACCCCCACCCCCCACGGGACCAGGAGCACAGCAGCCTGCAGGGCCCCGAGCTGGCTGCAGACACCCCAGGAATGCCCACAGCATCAGGCAGGACGGGGGTGAGGGCTGGGGGAGCGGGTGCGGCCCAGGGAGCTTCTGGAAGCCTGGTTTCCCGCCCCCTCGATCTAGTGCCCCCCTCCCTCCCCCAGCCCCCAGCCCAGGACCGCAGGAAGCCAAGTGCAGGAGCCCGGCCTCCGTGGCTGGGCGGGGCCGCCCCACGCTGTGGACACGCGCCTGGGCGAGCCGTGAGCCTGGGCGCACGTGTCCGGCATGGGCGTGCCTGCGTGCTCGGCCCGCGTGGCCGCAGCCTGCACGCACAGTGGGCTTGGCAGTTGCATTGGCACCCAAGGCTTGAAGTAGTGGGGTTCCGCCCCAAACGCCTCCACAGGCCACATCCCCGCCCCAGGCCCCCGACCCCGGGGCAGCGGGGAGCCGCCCGGCCCTCGGCAGAACTGGCTGCGAGTGCGCTGGCCGGGGGCACCCTGCCCTCGGGTCCCGGGGCTTCAGCAGCCCCTCCCGGCTCTGTGTTTGGCACTGAATGACCGCCCCCACCCCCGGCCCAGCCCCTCTTCCTCCGCCTGGCCCCCGCCCGCACACAGGGATGGGACACGTAAGCCCACGGGAGCCCTCAGCAGAACAGCCGCCCCAACACAAGAGGCGGGGTGAGGGCCTTCCAGGCCCGGGGGCTGCTGCAGTGGCCCAAGCCCCTCTTTCCTTAAAAGCTAAAGACAGAAATAACAGCAGTGGGGAGGAGGCGGGGTACACACCTGTGACGCCGGCCCTTGGCGGAGGCCACAGCAGGAGCTGGGCCAGGAGGCCAGCGGGGGTGGCCACAGGGGCTGGGCCGTCCAGCTGGGGCGCCGGCTGGGAGCTAGGGAGGGCTGTGGGCACAGAGGCACCTGCCCACAGGGTTATGGCACGTGGGGGTCTGTGGCGAACGGTCCGCAGCCGGGAAGGGCCGTGGCGGCAGACAAGGGGCCGGAGGTGCTGGACCCAGGGCACGTGGAGGCCGCCCCGGCCCCGGCCGCCTAGATCAGGAACCTCTCGGCATCGGGGAGGAAGTCGGGCAGGAAGGCAGGGTCCGGGAGGCCCGGGGACCCGCAGTTCGCCCGCTGTGGGAAGCTCCTCAGAGGCAGGGCCGAGGGGGGCGAGGATGGGCTCTGGGCAGCCGGCCGGCCTTTCCCCAGCTGGGCCGAGCCCGCGGAGCCCCGGTTCCCGGTCAGCAGGTCCAGGTTCCCGCTGGGGTCCACGATGGCGTTGATGACTGCAGGGGCGGGGAGGGTCAGGCCGGCTGGCGGGTCCTTCCTGCCTCCCAGCCCACCCCGGGGTCCCTCTGCTGGTGCCTCCGGCAGCACCTGGGGCCACACCCACCTTCCAGTTGCTTCTGCACGCGCCTCAGTTCTTTCAGGATGGAGCTGATCTCCTGGAAGCGGGCGGGAGGGGGCAGATGGAGCAGGGCCGCCAAGGGGGTCACACCCCACTCCCTGCAGCCCGGCGGCTGGGCGCAGGCCGGCCCTCACCTTGTTGGATGTCTTCAGGATGGGCACCTCGTTCTCCGAGTTGATTCTGGCTTCCACCTCCTCCCAGGCACGCCCTGTGTTCTGAAAGAGGATCCTGCCGCCAAGGGGGGAGGCAGAGGACAGTGATGATGGAGCCCAGACACAGGCAAGCCCAGACCCCCCTGCCTGGGCCCAAGGGGAAACACTGGCCCAGCACCGGAACGGGGCTGGCTGGAGCCAGAGTCCTGGCCTCTGGGCTGACGTGCGGAGGGCTGGTCTGGAGGCTGGGGTCATCCTGGGGCTCTGGTTCCCGGGAGCCGGGCATGCGTGTGTGCATGGGCACCCCCTGGGTGGTGTCCCCCCCCCCCCACCGCTGCAGGTCCTCGCTGATGGGTGTATGTTCGTGTCTGTGTCTGAGGGGAGTCTGGGGGGCGGCTCCCACTGGCCCACAGAGCTTGCGGGGCTCTACGCACTTCATCTTCTCGGCGAGGTGCTCCGTGTTCTCCCGGATGGCGTGGGACAGCTGGGACACGGGGTTCAGCATCAGGTTGTCAAAGATCACCTGTGAGGACCAGTGTCAGCACGACGCCCGGGAGCCCTCCGGAAGGCCCTGCTCCCCAGGCACACCCCAGCGCCCGGCCGGGAGGGCCCCATGCACGCAGCCAGGCCAGCTCTCTAAGGGGCGGGGGGGGTGCCTGCCTCCTCGCGGCTCCGAGGCCGCATCTTGCTGGCGAGGGGGTCCTCACAGCGGTCGTTCATGTTCTGGTCCAAGTCTCGAGAGCTCAGGGAGCCAGGGGGCACCTTCTGGAAGTTGAGGCTGGCCTCGGGGATGCGCTGCACCAGCTGCGGACAAGGGCAGGTGGTGAGAGCCCTCCAGGGCGGGGGCATCGCCAGCAGGGGCAGACACCATGCCTCCGCCCCGACAACAGCAGGGCGACGGAGCGGACCCCGAGCCCAGTCCGCTGGGGGCCCCGGGACGCCCCAGCCCCCAAGGAAGGCGGATCCCAGCCCCCGTGCTTCAGGGCGGCCTTGTCGGGAGCCGAGCACGGGCCGCACAGCCTTGGCGAGGGCTCGTGGCTCAGACCGCCCGGGCACGCAGCTGTGCGGGGCGGGGCCGACGCGGCCAGGACCAAGGGACCAGGCCAGACCTCAGCAGGGTGGTGGCGGGGCGTACCTCCTCACGGGCGGAGATGGTTGAAGCAGGGGTGCTGGGCACGTTGCTGAGGGAGGGGCTGCGGGCGGGCCCCGGCGAGCCCAGCGAGTCGCCGTCCCCAGCCACGTCGTGGATCTCCCGGGCCAGGATGGCCACATCCTTCACTAGTGTCTGGCTCAGCCTGCACCCAGAGGAGAGAAGGCGGGTCCTGGCGGGTCCTCCTGGGCGGGGCGCCAGCGCTGGGGAGGTCGGGGGGTCGGCAGCCTGAGGGAAGCCTCCCCGGGCCGCCCTCCCCTCTCAGGTGGAGGCAGGAGCCCTTCCCGAGAGACAAGTGCAGGGTGAGGGGCAGGGGCTGAGGGCATGCAGCCTCCAGCCTGGCCCAAACTGCCCAACCAGCCACTGGCAGTGCCAGACAGACAGGGCCCCAAAGAAGGCTCGAGTGTCCGATGCCCCAAGAAGGGTGGCAGAGGTGGGGATGGGGCTGGGCAGGAAGGGCGGGCGGAGGCACCCCCATGCTCCAGAGCAGGCCACAGCTTCCCCTCTGGCCACCCAGGCCCTACTCTGCAGGCAGGGACATTGAGGCAGGGAAGGGGTCACAGACAAGGATCAGAGGCAAGCAACGGGTGAGACAGGCAGGCGGAGACCAGGAACCTCCCCGCAGGGGAGGGAGGGAGGCCACGGGAGGCCAGGCTCCCAGGCCCAGCCCGTGCCCACTCACACCCCACACAGGTTAGGCATGCTTCCCCACCAGGCTCTCAGGCCACCCGGAAAAGGACAGGGGCCAGCAGGGACCAGGAGCACCTTCTACCCCTTAGTGCCCACGAAGTCCCCAGGCTGAGCGCTGTCCTCGAAGCACATCAGGTCCCCCAACCAGCCTGTCCTGTGGACTAGAGCCCTCGGCCCAGGCTGGGGGTACAGGAGTCCCCTGTCACTGTCCACACCGCTCCCTTCCCTCGAGGACGCATGAGCAACACCCTCAAGGTTCCTCGGCACATCACTGCTGCAGTCGCCCAAGTGACGGGGCCTCCAAGGCCCACCAAGGCCCAGCGGCCACCCTCAGCTGTCCCAGCATGCTCGGGACGCCAACCCAGCCGGCCCTCAGGGCCTATCCTCTCCCATCGCCACCTGCAGCCCTGCCTGGCATGGCCACCCGAGCTCAGCCCCACCCAGAAATGCTGAGCACAGCTGGAGAAAACCATCCCGGCCGGCCCCTACCTCCCCAGCAAGGCTGACCTGGGCCCCCTCAAGATGGCGGCCCCCCAACTGGGTCCCACCTTCCCTACATCCAGAAAATACAGAAAGACGGCCCTCAAAGTCATGGATGCCAAACGGACGTGTGGCCCTGCCTTAGCACCAGCCCCCACGTCCTCTCTCCAGCCCCCGGCACATCGGGATGCCCAAGCCTGCCCATTCTGGGGCAGAGGCCCAGAAACCCACAGGGGCCCCTCCATCCCCCCTCCTCGCCTCTCTCACCCAGCAGCCTCCTTCCAGAACCCTCACTCTGCCTCCTCAGCAGTCCGCCCCCTCGTCAGCCCTGTGCACCGCCCCCCGCATCCTGGGAGCTCCGTCCCCGGCCCTCTTCATGCCCTACAGGTCCTCTCCACTCAACCTCCAGCTGCCATGGCCTCTGTTGCCATCTCTGTGTCTCCACCCCCACGGACCATTCTCCCAGGAACCACCTGCCTCTGGGTCACCTTTCTAGGAGGCTCACGGGCTCAAGCTCAGCATCCTCAGCACCAAACACTCACCACTCACCCATCCCCAGACTCCTCCTGCCCCTGCACGAGCCCCACAGAACCCAAGCACTGTAGCCCTGACCACTGCTCAGTGCAAGACCACTCCCCAGTCTCCACCACCTCTGCACCAGCCTCCCTGCTCCTGGCCTGGAAGTGACCCAGGAAATAACCACATGACAGTTCATCTTTAACAAAAATAGTACAGTTCTTCCTCATACCAGAGCGCCCACACCCTCCTGGACAGATCTGCATTCATCCACCCGCCCACCCATCCATCCATCACCCACCCAGTATCCACCCACCTATCCACCCAGCCACCCGATATCCATCTCATCCATGTACCCACCCACCCATCCACTCTTCCACCCACCTACCCAGTCACCCATCCATCCCTCCACCCATCCATCCATCACCCACCCAATATCCACCTACCTACCCACCCAGCCACCTGATACCCATATCTCATCCATCCATCCATCCACCCACCCACCCACCCACACACCCAGCCATCCATCCACCTACCCATCCACTCCTCCATCCACCCACCCAGCCATTCTTCCATCCTTCCATCCACCGAGCCATCCTTCCACCCACCCATCCACCCCTCCATCCAGCCAGCCAGCCACCCACCCATCCACCCAGCCATCCTTCCAGCCCTCCATCCACCTACCCACCCATCCATCACCTACCCAATGTCCACCCATCTACCCACTCAGCCACCTGATATCCATCTCATCCACCCACCCATCCACCCCTCCATCCACCCACCCGCCCACCCCAGCCACCCCTCCATGACCAGCCCTTGCTGAGCTCCTTCGGGAAGAGAGTCTCCAGCCCAGGCCCTGGCCTGGGGGTGCCCTTGGCCCCAAGGTGAGGGGCGCTCTGGCTCGAAGGCTCCCCCTGAGTTGGGCTCACCTGGCGATCTCAGCGATCTCTGCCGTCTGCACAATAAAGCCGTAGGGGTCAGGATCTTCTTCCTCATCATCTGTGTCCCGGGGGATGGGGGCCCGGGAGCGAGTCCGGCTGGAGCTGCCAGCCCGCGGGGTCTGCGTGGCTGTTGAGGCATGGGAGTGTGTGTGTGGGGGGGAGCCGTGGTGGGAGCCGTACTCCTCCTCGGATGTGGACGTGCAATCCGAGCCCTGCTGCCGGCGACGCGTGCCTTGGGTGCACGAGTTGTTTCCAGAAGCAAGAACAGAACAAAGCAGCGCTCAGCACCCTGTGGCAGCCCCGGGTCCTTCCAGACGAGCGCCCAGCGCTGCAGGACAAGCCGCTGCAGCTGCGCCCCCCCCACGCCCAGAGGCCTAGCAGCTGAAGCGCCAACAGGTACAGAGCTCCACGGCTGTGAGGCCACCACCAGCCCAGAGGCACGAGGAAGGACGGGCAGGGATGGGCAGGATCAGGGAAGGACAAGGACTGATGGGCAGGGATGAGCAGGGTCAGGGAACGATGGGGAGGGATGGGCAGAGTCAGGGAAGCATGGGCAGGGATAGGCAAGGTCAGGGAAGGACAGGGATGGATGGGCACGGATGGTGAGGGACGGGGAGGGACGGGCAGGGACGGGGAGGGACACACAAGGACGGGGAAGGACAGGCAGGGTTGCGGAAGGATGGGGAGGGACGGGCAGGGACGGGGACAGAAGGCGAGGGACAGGGAGGGACAGGCAGGGTCAGGGAGGGACGGAGAGGGACGGGGAAGAACAGGCAGGGTTGGGGAAGGATGGGGAGGGACAGGCAGGGATGGGGACAGAAGGCGAGGGACAGGGAGGGACAGGCAGGGTCGGGGAGGGATGGGGATGGATGGGCAGGAACGGGCAGGGACAGGGACGGATGGGGACAGACAGGCAGGGTCAGGGAAAGACAGGCAGGGTTGGGGAAGGATGGACAGGGATGGGCAGGGTCAGATAGGGACAGGCAGGGTCACGGACGGGCAGGGACGGGGATGGACGGGCAGGGACAGGAATGGATGGGGACGGACGGGCAGGGTCAGGGAAAGACGGGCAGGGTCGGGGAGGGACGGGCAGGGTCAGGGAGGGAGGGGCAGGGTCAGGGAAGGACAAGCAGAGATGGGCAGGGTCGGAGAGGGACGGGCAGGGATGGGTTGGACAGGCAGGGTCAGGGAGGGACGGGCAGGGATGGGGAGGGATGGGCAGGGATGGGTTGGACGGGCAGGGTCGGGGAGGGACGGGCAGCCTGGCATTTCCACGGGCCTGAGACTAGTCACCCCGTGGGCAGAGGCCACGTCCTGTGGGGGGGTCTGTACCCATCAGATGGGAACCGCCAGGACTGGTGGCAGGGAATGGAACCCACGGATACCCCAAAGCAGGGTAGGCCTCCCCACGTGGATCAGCCGCAGGCCTGGGGGGGACCCCAGAGGGTGGCTGGGCTCGGCCCTCACAGCCCCCTCCCTGGCCTGCCTGGTCTGGGACCCACTCCTCGGCCGCCCTGCTCTGAGGCCCCAGGCAGTAGCACACACGCACGCCGCCAAAAGGAAGGGAGGGGCAGCGGGCTGGCACCCAGCCGTGGTCCCCAGCCCTCCACCCCTCTGTCCCGCGCCGTCCCTTCCTCCGGCAAGCCAGCCCCGGCACTCCTCGCGCGGCCGGAAGGCAGGGAGGGGCCGCGTCTGCAACCTCAGCGGGGCACGCCCGGCACCCTCCAGCCACCCGGGCAGGAGCCAAGCACCAGCGACCACAGCACCATCCCTCTGCACCCCGCCGGGGCTGCGTGGGAGACTGACAAGGCCTCCCCCAGCACCCAGCCCCCCAGGGGACAGCGCCAGGGCAGAGTGGGCAGCCCCAGCCTGCTGTCCACAGCCACACAGGCCCCCACCCGCAAGGCAGCAGGAGCCCCTCCCTCCGGGCTCGCTGGAGGATGCAGACCCGCGCACGCTCAAGGAACCCGAGAGTGTGTGTGCAGACGGGCCTGCCCGGGAACGGGGGCTCCTCTAGGGCCAGAGTCGGGGGCCCCACGGCCGTGCGTGGGGCTGACCCAGAACACTGCGGACCCACCGCCCTGGCTGACGCGGCACTCACTGGGTGAGGAGTATCGGGCACTGCCCGGGCGGGCCCTGCTAAAGGGCTGGCGGGGGGCCGTGGTGGTATTGGCAGCCTTCCTGGCAGCGGCGGCCCGAGCCTCGGCCACAACGGGTTTACGGCCAGAGCAGTACAAGTCGATGCTGCGGCCAGAGAAGCCGGCGCGGGCGGGGGCCGCCTCGGAGTCGCTGGGCCCGGTGAAGGAGCCTGCCCGCTTTCGGGGCATGGCCAGGATGTCCAGGCGCGACAGCTTCTTGGCCTGCTCGGGGGCTGGCCGCCCCGCCGGCTCGGGGTTGGCCGGGGGCCCCCGTTCGCCATCGGCAGCCTCCGTGTCCGAGGCATCCCCCAGCCGGGCCCGCCTCAGCCGGGAGGCCCGTGTGGGCCGAGGGGTGGACAGGCTGTTGGAGCGGGTCAGCACCTGCTGCACCTTCTGGGCGGAGCCACGGCCCTGCTCTTCCCGTGGAGCCGGGGATGGCGCTGCAGGTGCCGGTTTCCGGCGAGGCCCTGGCCGCCCCGCCCCAGGGGCCACAGGGGTCTCGTGGTCAGAGATGACCGTGTCTGCGCCAGGCGGGTGGGCCAGGCCGGAGCCTCGCTCTTCGTCAGGCCAGTCCGCGGATGCCCGGGCCCCGGTGCCACACCGCACGGCCAGGCGCCTCCCCAGCTCTGCACGGCCCACGTCCATGGGGCCCGGAGTGCGACGATGCTTGTCCGAGAGCCGCTCGCGGGCGCTGTTCGAGGAGACGCTCCCCGGGTCCTGTGCTGCTGGTGGGCACAGTGGCTTCTCCTTCTGCGGCCCCGCGGGCTGGGGACTGGTTGGGCTGGGCCCGTTCTTACCACTGACCAGGCTGACTGTGCTCCCCGTGTCCACGTCAGAGTCCCCGGACAGGGAGTCGTCTGGCGGCCCGGGGGTGCTGCCCATCGGGCCCTCTGCCTCCTCCGTGGACTTGGAGAACAGCCGGGCCTCCAGGGCTGCCAGGGCTGTCTCTGTCTCCTTCAGGATCAGGTGGGTGTCCTGGGGGTGCAGGTCCATGCGTGAGGCCCGGGCGGCAGCCAGGTCCTGCAGGAGGGGGTGGCTGGAGATGCGTGGAAGCTGGCCGGGCGCTGGGGGGCCACCAGCCGGCTCCTTGCTGAAGCTATCCTGTCGCACCAAGGCCGGGGCAGGGCTCTCGGGCTCTGGGGACCGCTCTGTCCGCAGCTGGATAACCATCCTCCCGCTGGAGCTGACGGAGACGCCGTCCCTCGCCACCCGCCCTGGGCCGTCCACCTCCCCTGCAGCCACCGATGGCTTCCTGGGGAAGGCTGTCTCCGCGTTCTGGTCCCCAATGAAGAAAGAGGCGGGGGCTGGCTCTCCAGGGGCCCTTGGCGAGCGCCGGCCCTTCGTCCATGCTGGTCCCTCCTGGGGGCTCCTGCGTCTCTCCTCCTGCGGGCCCCCACCCAGCTCGGAGCCCCGCCCACCATCAGACCCACTGGCATCACTGAGGCTGTCAGGCTCCAAGTCCTCCTGGCCCAAGAGGCAGCCGGCCTGCTCACTGCCCGGCTCCGGAGGCCCAGGGCCGCTCCTCTTGGTGGCCTCGAGGCCCCCAGGGCTGTCTGCGCGGTCGCTGGGCAGCTGTGGGAGTCGCCGTCGCTGGCGCACAGGCAGGGTCCCCTCCAGCTCCCCCGCTCTGTGCCCAGGGCTCTCCCCTGCAGAGACAAGGGCGGCCTGGTTGCAGCAGCCGCCGGGTCTGCAGGCCCTCGATGCGCGCCGGAAGCCTGACCCTCCTCCGGACTTGGCTGGCACGCACTCACGCCCGCGTGTCCAGTGGAAAGCCTGGGCCCACCCCCTCCCTGTGGCTGAGCCTGAACCACTCACCTGCCAGGCCTGGGTCTGAGTAGCTGTCGGCCAGGCTGGCCCAGCGGGACACCCATTTCTGACCCCCAGGGGAGCCCGGCACCGGGAGGCCCTGCGGAGCAAAGGACAAGCGTGTCTCTGCAGCAGGGAGCGGGAGGAACCCCATGGAGACCCTCACCCGTGGGGACAGCTCACCCTAACCCCTGGCCCCAAACACGCCATCTCTGGACCTGTAGCATAGCCCCCTCCCCCTCACCCAAGAAACAGCCAGGAAACCCCCCGCTGCACTCCTGAGCTTACAGAACCCCAACATTAACTACCTAACCTGAGCCCGGGTCGGGGGCCTAGAGGCCAGCAGCGGTGGCTCGGCCCAGCCCTGCCTGTGGGCATACACCCAGGGGCCCCACTTGACTTGGGACCCGTCCTCGAGCCCTCCATACAGGGCCCCAGCCCACAGGTGGGCACGCCCCTCAGGGAAGGTTCAACCCAGCCTTGTATGAGGCACCCAGCGCAAGCGAGACCATAACCTTCGAGCTCATTCAGGACCCGATGATGGGGTCCCAGCACTCCCCAGGCCAGCGTGCCTCCCACTTACCTGGAGCTCCCCTTGGGGGGCTATGCCCACCGACCGGGAGGCAAACTCCTGCAGGAGCGCCATTCGCTGGGCGACCCCGTCACTGGCCTCGTCTCTGTCCCCTCTGATGACTGGACGGAAGGTGACCGAGGATACCCTGGAGAGCTCAGGAGACTCAAGTACCCCAAAGACCTGGAAGGAGGGATGGCCAGGCCCTCGGGTCAGAGCCACGCCAACCGCGGCCAGGCCCCCAGCCCCCTGCCCTGCAGACCTGGTCGATCATCTGGCGCGCCTCCTCCACCTCTGGGTCCTGCCCCTCTGTCTCGATGGTGTAGGTCCCCGCATCGCTCAGGCTGTCGTCCTCATCCTGTTTGCGAGCCTTGCTCAGCTGGGGGTCGGCAGGGGGCGGTGGTGGGGTCGCAGGGGCCACGGGGCTGGCCCCACGGGGTGTCTCGGGGGCCGGTGACGCTGGGGATGCCTTGTCAGGGCCGGGCCGGGTGGCCGGGGAGCCCTCCCGCGGGCACTGGGCCATGAAGTCCTGGGCCAGACGGGAGCGGCGCCCCACGCTGCCAAAGGGTCGCACAGAGCCCCGGGAGGCGGGCGAGGGGCCCCCCAGGCGCTCCTCTGTCCTCTCCCGCTTGAGTGAGCTGGCCCGCTGCGGCCCCGAGCTGCCGCCTGCCCCCCGCGCCGAAGCAGGGACGCCTGAGCGGTCTCTGTCCGCCGGCCCGGGGCCTCGGCGCTTGTCGGCCTTGGGGTCCCCCGGAGGGGTGTGCGTGAAGGACTGGGAGCGCTTCTTGCGGGGCGTGTCCTGGTCGAAGAACTCGATGACAAAGGCCTGCTGGCTATGCAGCAGCTCCTGGGGGTCCCGCTTCATCTGTCTGTGCAGCCGCGCCTGCGTCCCGCTGCCCTCTGCAGGGACCCCGGCCGTCGCCACCGCTGCCTTGGCCGCGGGGTCCTCCGAGTCGCTCTGCGTGCCGTCCTCATGCTTGTGGCCTGGGGGTGGGGGACCCCAATGCATCAGGCCAAGGGAAAGGACGCAGCGACCTGGGGGGAGGGGAGCCTCTTCACCCCCTGCCCCAGCGGCGCCACGAGGCTGGGGACGTGGCACCCTCAGCGCACGGGCCCCGGCACACGCGGCCGAGATGAGCACCGGGAACACGCCCAACTGGCCCAACTGGGGAGGCAGGTCTCTGGCAATCAGTCGAGCTGCTGAGGGCGCCCCACCCGGAGGCGCAGGCGCTGTGGTGAGCTCACGGCCCGCCCGGCACTCACCCTTCAGGGTGCGGGTGTGGACGGGCAGGTCGCTCTTGGTGCTGTGGCGGTCATCCCCAGGGCCCGCCCGGCACAGCAGGCTCGGGTCGCTCTGCGCCAGCCAGTCGGCCACCTTGGTCTCGGCAGACACGGCCTCCACAGGTGTGGCCTCCTTGTCTGGGGGCCGTCTCTGGCGCAGCGAGAACTTGGTGACGTGGTCCTTGATCTTCACCTTGCCGGGGCTGCAGTTGTCGAACTCGATGGTGAAGGAGGCGTGGCTCTGCACCATGGGGGCCGTGGCGGGAGCCTCGTGGGCCGGCGCCGCAGGGGGCCGCGGCGGTGGCGGCGGCGGCGGGGCCTCCTTCGTGGGGATCTCAAAGTAACTGGGCTCCCGCCTGAACGAGCAGCCCTGAGGCTCCGCCGCCGCCCGGAAGCCAATCGTCCCTGGGAGCTCCCCGTCCGGCTGGGCCGGCTCCTTGGGCCGCTCTGGGTGGGAGGGGGGAGAAAACGTGTCCTCGGGGGCTGCAGGGTGCCGACCTCGGCCCACCCAGCTCTGCCAGCACAGTCAGCTGTCTCCCTGGAACCGGCATTTCCAGCCCGGGGCCTCTGGGACCCACCTGCGTAGGGCTCCTCCTGGCGCCGGTCCTCGGGGGGGCTGCCGCTGTCGTCCTCCCCCCACCAGGAGGGCTGCCCATACAGGGGTGTGCGGTAGGCCGCCGTCTCTGCACGAGGAGAGGGAGTTCGACCCTGGGTCACTGGGGCCCAGCACAGACGAGGAGGGGAGACCCAGGGCTGGGAAGGCGCTGGCTCCCGGAGGGGTCCTGGTGTCACGTCCCACCTCAGCCCGGGACCCTGCCCGAAGTGCTCCAACTTCACCACTCTAGGCCCATTTCCACATCGACGGTGGGTGGCGCTCGCTGCCCCCAACCCGCCCAGGCCTCCCTGTGCAGGAGGCTCTCCGGGGGCAGCACGGTCCTCAGCGCCCCCACCCTGGGGCAGGCAACCCCTCCAGCCCTGGCTGAGCCCTCTGCCCCTGGAGCCTGCCTGCCACGAGGGCAGCAGGACAGGGGTCCACGGCCAGGGCAGGTCTCTCTCCAAGGTCTGCAAGTGGCTCGGGCCACAGAGGGGCGACCCTGACGGCCGGGCCCCACCACAGGCTGACCGGACCACACGGGGAGCAGGGGGGCAGCGCGCACGGGTGGGCATGTCTCGGGCTGTGCAGCTGTGGGGCGCCCGGGTGCCTAGCCCACAGGAGGGCAGGTCTGCGCTGTGAGCCCAGAGGCTGAGAGGCAGGGCGAGGGCCGTGCTGGGAGGGGAGCGCGACCCAGAGCAGGCAGATCAAGGGGAGCCGCGGGGGAGGCCGGGGGGCAGGCCTGTGTGCACACCCCTCCTGGGCCCCACTGCAAACTGCCCTTACCTGCCCCTGGCCTCCGGTCCCCCCTCTCCGGCCTGGGACCCAAGGACTCGCAGTAAGGGGTGTGCTGGGGCAGCGCTTCGCCCTTCCTGGGGGCCGGGCCCTTGACGCTCACCTGCAGCTGGCTGGTATACTTCTCGTGCTGCGGGCAGGGGGGCCGGGGGTGAGGGCGGGGTCGGCCCCAGGAGGACACCCAGGGCAGCCCGCTCCCTCTTGGTCCGGAGAGGGCCAGGACTGGCCCCGCACACCATGAGGCCTCCCTCACAACACCCACGGAGGAGACATCCTGAGGCTTGAGGCTGGGGGTCCTCGCCCAAGCCTGGGGGGGCGGTTCTCAGGACCACACAGCTTCCAGGAAGGAGCCGGGGTTTGCTTGGGGCAGGCAGCAGTCATCAGAGGTCACACGCAACCCCCCCGCCTCAGGACCCACCAGAGAAGGGTGGGACAGGCCCTGGGCCACGGGAGGCGGGGAACAGTGGTCTATCCGAGCACACCATGGGCGTGCACGCTTGTGTGCATGCACCCATGTACGGATGCGTGTGAGTGTGTTCGTGCGTGCAGGGGCCCCACCTGGCTGAGCTCTGCAGCTGTCAGACCCAGGCTCACACTGCCCGTGTGACTCTGGGCAGGCTGCCCACACCCCGCTTGAAAGACGGCGCTAAGGCTAGTCGCCCCAAGGGGCTCCCGGGTGAAGCTCTGGGCAGGGTCCCCCGAGTCGATGCTCCATGACTCCCACACAAACGAGCAAGGGGACAGGAGACGTCCCACCCACCGTGGCCCCTGACCCAGGTCCCTCCTGCCCGTTCCCAGCTACCCCCTGTGATAGCCTGATTAGGGTCCTCCTTGGCACCCCAAATGCCTCTGGGCCTCCCCTCCCACAGCTGGGTACAGCAGCCTCCCCCTTCAGCCACCACCTGCAGCTGCATCCGCCTGGGGAAACGACGATCTTCCCCACCTGCCAGACCGGGCCGGCCTGCAGGCCAGGCCAGGCCAGGCGCCACAGCCAGGCTAAGGGAGCCAGGAGGTGTGGGAGTGCTGGGCAGGAGGAGGGGTGCAGGGACGGTGGGGCCGCCTGGCCGCGTGCTGGCACTGACCCTGAGCGCCTCCTCGGGGACCCGGTGCTGCACGCGCTCCAGCACGTACATGTTGGAATGTGGCCGCAAGTTAAGGCGAACCCCGAGCAGAAGAGCCAGGATGGCCTTTGGGCAAGGGCACAGGGCCACATGGAACAGGCATTCTCCAGAGCGAGAGGAGCAGACAGCTTCTGGGCAAGTCAGACTGACAGCCATGGAGGCTGGGCCGCCCCCACACCCACCTGTGCACCAGGCCCGTGTCCACGCTGCTCCAGATCACGGCACACACATGCCCTTTAACCCCTCAGCCGAAGCGCGGGCAGGGCGGGCAGGTGATGTGCCCAGGAGCCTGCCATGCAGCTAGCTCCCAGCTCCCACCCCAGACCTCCCCACGGCACCGGCCTCCCGAGGATCTGGGGTCGGGAGGGCCTCAGACAGCGGCTGGGTCCACACCCATTAGCGGCTCTGCCAACACGCGAGCTGGCCCAGGCGGGCAGAGAGGAGGAAGTGCTCCTGCCACGTGTACGGGTCCCCAGGGCAACCAGGCTGCTCGGGGCGGAGGCACAGCCCCCGCTCCCGCATGCTCGAGCACAGAACGCCACGCCTGGGCGGCCCCCAGGCCACCAGGGACCCTGGGTCCCAGGGAGGGCTCACTCGCTCCTGGGACCCTGTGTGAGCTCAGACTGGGAGACAGGAAGCAGGTGCCCGTGACCGGGGCCTCTGTCGGGGGCCCAGGGGCCGGGGTTCGGGCTGGAGCCCAGCCCGGGGTTATGCTGGCTACTCTGTGACGCCCGTGGGCCCCAGCTGTGCCCATGGAGGCCCCTACGACTGCCAGGACAACAGGACGACTGAGGCCAGAGGGAGGGAGCACGGCCAGGAAAGGATATCGTAGCCGAATCGGATGACGTCATGGAGCTTCAGCGTGACGTACTTCTGGTCCGGGATGCGCACGTCATTCACGAAGGTCTGCGGAGGAAACAGGTGGCGGGGCCCGGCCAGCAGCAGGTGGGGCAGCGACTCTGCGGTGCCCTCCTTCATGCTGCTCTGGGCCAGCCACTGTCCCTCGGACACACGTGCACCCAGCCTCACCCCTGCAGGGACCATGGGGCAGGTGACCGCCGAAGGCCTGGCTCGTCCAGCACCCGGGACCCTGAAGTGGCAGCGGCCAAGGCACACCCGCGGGGTGGCCCCATGGCAAGGCTGGCCGGGCTGTGCGAGGCTGCCTGCTCCCCGGAAACCTCCTCCCTCCCCCAGGGGCTCTCACTGGCTGGCTACTGGACACTGCACTCTGGCCAGATCGGGGAGAGAGCCCCACGCGCTCTGAGGGCCTTGGGGCAGGCCAGGCGACAGAGGAAAGACAGAGGAGCTCAGGCGCTGCAAATGTGCCAGAGTCTGGTGGAAGGCACGAGAACCAGGGAGGACTGGTTTCAGGACAGAGGGGGGTCTCGGGGGCGAAGCAGGAGGGTGGGTCCACAGGGAGGGGTCCCAGGCCAGGGCTGGGTGGTGCAGAGACGGGGCAGCAGAGCAGGCCTGAGAGGGCTGGAACCCCGGCAAGCGCAGTCTGCACACGCTGCCGGCGATGCGGGAGTCCGTGAGCTCCTGCAAGCAGTGGAGGGCAGCAGGCCCGGCGTGGGGGCAGCCTGGCATCCCGTGCCCGTGGCTCGGTGCTGCACAGGCAGGCGAGACTTGGCCCCAACTCTGCAGACGTCACTCAGGCCTCTGAGACGCACACACCAGGCCCACAGCCCCAGGGACCCTCTCAGAGCCCAGGCGGTCTGGGGGGCCAGTGCCCTGTGCAGCCCAGGTTGGCGGAGGGGATGCTCACTCTCCTTGCAGCCCCATTCAGGTAGGGCGACTCTGTCTGACAGGAGGGCCGACAGAAGAGGGGTTCAGGGGCAGACCCCAGCAGAGCCTGAGACCCTCCCCCACCCGGGAGCCCCGCATGGGAAGTGGTGAGGAGTGCCCAGCACTCGGCAGCCTGAGGCTGCTGTGGGACCCCCCAGCTCAGGATGGAGAGGGCAGACCTCACGAGCTGGGGGGGACAGGGCGGAAGGCCCTCCTCGGGCAGAAGGAAACCACACACCCACACAGCCAGACACCGGACCCTGGAGGGACCCCTCACCTGACCCTCTCCCTGCTCACAAAGGAGGTCACACATCCCCCAGGACATGGTATCCCAGCAGACAGCCTCATTTCTCAGCCTGCAGGAGGTCCAATGTCTCCCACCCTCCCTAGGGCCCTCTCCCCCAGAACAGCCCTGCCCCACAGGGAGCCTCCCAAGGAGGCCATGGGGCCACTGCACCTGAAGGTGGCTTCCTCCCCACCTGAGCAGCAGATCCTGGAGGAGCTCAGGCGGGACGGAGCAGAGGGATGTGGTCATGGAGGGGAAGGGGACCACAGCAGGTGGGCAGAGCTGGAGTGGGGCCCGGGAAGGGGACGGGGCCAACATAGAGGGTAGATCACGAAAGGAGTGGGGTCAAGGCGGAGGAATAGGCCATGATAAGGGGCAGGGTGCAGAAGGAGCTGGGGTGGGGAAGACAGGTGGGGCTACCCTGGGGGGCGGGGTGTCATGAAGAGGGGTGTGACCATCACAAAAGGAGGCGGGGCCAGCAGACAGACAAAGGTCATGAAGGGGGCAGGGCCAGCAGAGGGCTGGGTCGTGGCAGGGGCGGGGTCATTGAGGGGTGGGGCTAGCCGAGGGGCGGGGACACGACGGAGGCGGGGCCAGCACAGAGCACCCCTTGCCGCTTGCACTCACCCCGTTCAGGCTTCCCAGGTCCTTCACCCAGTGCTCATCCCTGTCCTGATCGTAGTTGATGACAGCATGCTGCTTGTCCACGCTGCGGGACTGGGGACACACAGACTGCCCTCAGGGGGCCTTCCCTGCTAGGTGAGGCCCAGGAGGCAGAGGAAATCCCAGCAAGAACCCCATCCTCTACCCCACCGCACTGCCAACACCAGCCAGCTGGGCCTGGGAGCCCACAAGGTCCAGCCCACGTCCCCACACCTTGGGTGTGTGTGTCCCAGAGAGCCCACCCAGGCTTGACTCGGCCAGCTGTCCCAACCACTGGAACAGACCACGGGGATTTGCTGAGATGCCAAGGCCAGGTCCGCCCACCCCACTGCTGCCACCCGGACCCCTCCTTTTCTGTCCAGCCTCTGCAGCACCAACAGGCCAGTGCCCCCCCCATCCCTGGGTCAGCCGTGGGAAGAGGGGGAACCTCTGGTCATCTGGGACATGCTGCTCACCCCCAAGGCCAGGTGGGGGCAGGCAGAGCCACAGGGAGGACCGCAGGGCTGGGGGGGTTCAGGGACAGGCCCTCCCCCCCACTTCTGGGCAGCACCACCCGGGCTGCTCACGCACATGCAGGATGAATCTCAGACCCCACAGCTATGTGCCCGCGGGCACAGAGCTCACACGCCTCCTACGCACACCCTGCCACACACGGGCATGCTGAGCACTGCCAACCTGTCCCCGGCCCCCGACCCTCTCAAGACCCCTCCCCAGGCCGGTCACCCAGCCCCCTCACACAGTCAGCCGGAAGAACACAGACCAGTCCAGCACACCTCTCCACTGCTAGGGCTCGTGGTGCAGAGGCCGGGATAGGGTCATGGGGTCATACGCTCTTCGTGGAGGCCAGCACAGGCCACCTCCCCAGCCACGAGGCCAGCGGTCTCGGCACAGAGCGTACCAGCGCCCACCCCACACCCACTCAGCCGGATGCCGGGGCATCTGGGTGGCCCCTGCATCCCTCTCTGGCCACCTAAGGAGACACAGGCCTGGGGACCAGCCCCTGGACAGGCCAGGAGAACCAGCCAATCTAGACGTCCAGACCTGCTAGGATGACAGCGCGGGACCCCGTGGACCTGCCAGACAGACACAAGACACCCAGACCTACCGCAGAGCACCTGCATGGGAACGACAGGGCTGCGCACCTGCTCTCCGCGGCCCGCCATAGGATGGCCCCTAGCCCATGAGGTGGTGGCCCAGGACCTGAGTTCCTGTGTCACCATACTACCAGGCTTCTCCGTTCCCACAGGTGAGTGCCCAGACCCTTCCTCCGCGAGGTGGCTGCCCACTTTTTCCCTGGCTTCCAGGGGCGGCCCCAGCACCCTCCCAAGGACTAGAAGCCCCTGCCCCACCCAGAGGCCCACGGACACAGCAAGGTGGGGGTGGGGGTGGGCTCTGGTCCCTCAGCTTATGTGCCAAGAGCCCTGGAAGGCGGATGGTCGGGGGCAGGCTCGTAGGGGCTGTGCCCTCAGCCCCAGCAGCAGCCTGCATGCTCCAGCCCTGCCGCACTCAGAGGCCCCAGGCAGCCAGCTGGACCCCCAAGGATGCCGCCGCAGTGGGGAACCTGGGGGGAGTGGCATGAGGAGGGAATGGGCCTTCAGTCCTCTGGAAGGGAACAGGGGTGCAGGGGCGAGATCATCGAGCAGTCAGAGGTGCCAGCAGGAGCCTCCCGAACACAGAGGCCACCCCGGGCCATCTGCCCCTGGCTGCTCGAGGGACACGGGTCAGCACTGCAGCCTGCCGTTGGCATCTGTCCTGAGGAGCCCCCAGGACAGCCTGGGGGGACTCCCGGTGCCAACGCATCTCCCACAGCGACAGCCTCCGACCAGGTGAGTCTAAGCTCAAGACCTACTGCCTCTCCCCCCAGGCCTCACCTCTGCCCCCACCCTGAATTCCTCACCCAGAGTTGACACCCACGGCCAGACAGCTCCGGCCACAGCCTCTTCCCTGGGTGCCAGGCACCCCATCCTCCATCAGACGCCCCTCCCTGTCCCGGATGCAGGCTGGCCCAGCGCTCACCTACCCCCAAAGCCGGCCCTGCACTGCAGCCCCCCCACTGGCCCTGGCCTGGGCCTCCCCGACCCGGCACAGGCGAGGGACCCTGGCACACCCTTACCTGGGCCTCAGTCTCCCAGCTGCAGTGGGGCTGACAAGAACCAGCAGCTCTCTGGGGGAGCATGAGTGCTCAGGCTCGTCTCACCCCGGCCAGTGAACCGCCCCATGGGCAGCCTCGTGTCCAGCCGGCAGCTGAGAAAACAGTACTTGCAGAGGAGTCTGGGGGCTCACCTCCTCCTGCGCCCTTTCCCAAGCAGCGCCCAGGGCTCGAGATCAGGCCAGCTGCCCACCTCAGCCCTGCTGGACACCGTGGGTGCCAAAGAGCCCCCGTCTCTGGAAAGTGAGCCTGGGGGTGGGCTGTGGCCGTTGTGCCACCAGGTATCACACCGCAGGGGTGCTGCCGGCCTGGGAAGGGCACTGGGCAGGGGTATACCACGGGGCTCTGGCCGGCCCCACACCAGCACACAGCGCGGTACGGGCCAGCCAGAGGCTGACAGGGGTAGGCAGCAGCAAGGGCACGCTGTCCCTCAGGCTCAGACCCCACCTCTGCCAAGGAGTAACCCCCTAGAGAGGCTTCTGGGCTGACCTCCCAGCCTGAACAACTCCCTCCCCCCACCCCAGGCCTCAGACCCCCAACTCCCGGACTTAGCCCAGCCGGGCCAAACCAGACTCCTCCCTCCCTGCCCACCCGGCCCTACAGCCTTCCCCCAGGAGGGCCAGCAGCGGAGGTTCCAACTGCACCCCCTTGCCCCCAGGCACCCACTGGCCTTCCCCGTCAACCTATTCCCTGCAGCCATCTTTCTCCCATCCTCCCAGCCCCCATCAGTCATGCCCATCACTCTTTTGCAGAAACTTCCTGAGGCTCCTGGCCAGCCTGAGAGGAAAGGCTAGCCTTGTCCCACGAGCCACGGGCCAGAGGCCTCTCCAAACCTTCCTGCCCTGCCCTGGCCTGGCCAGCCCTCTGGCCAGACCGCTCTGTGGGTTCTGGAGATGCCATGCCCCTTCTTGGACCTGGGTCCTTCGCCAAGGACCACCACCCTCCCTGTGTCCACCTTCCCTGACCCACCCCCACCCACCCCACCAATCTTCTGGTCCTTGGACCTTGCAGAGTGCCCCCCCACTTGCCCCTAGAGCCTGGGCCGCCCCCTCCCACGCCCCCTCCCACACACGCCCGCGTGCAGTCCCCAGGCCCAGCCTCCACTCCCGGCCAGGGCCCTAGCACCAGGCACAGCTCCTGCAAAACCCCCTTCCCAGACTGCGGGTAGCACCAGGACTGATGGGGAGCAGGCGGAGAAGGGCTCCAGGACCAGAAACCTCCCTCCCAGCCCCGACACCCCAAGCCAGAAGCAGACCCCAGTTCCACCAGGCCCAGGAGCTCAGGGGCCGACACCCACCCAGGGAAGATGGAGGCAGCCCTTTAGCCCTGGATTTGAGACTTCACAGGACAAAAAGCAGCTGTGTCCTGCACGAAGGGAGAGATTGTGGAACAGGCGAATAAAATGACCCTAACAAACTCCAAACATATAGATATTTGAAAAAAAATCCAATTATATTCACTTTAAAAGGAACAAAGAAGTGCTTCCAAACTTTACGTGACTCCCTCCATGGAGAAAGCCCTGCCCAGGTCAGCCTGATCCTGGCAGTGGCCAAAACCCAGGGCTCTGGGCACCCTCCCACCAGTCCGCACCCGGCATCACCCACGTCCACCGCAGATGGGCTCAGCTGGCTCGCGCACAGAGGGCTCCAGGCTCAGGGCTGTGGTCTCCGCGTGAGGATGCAAGCAGACAGACCCCGGCTGCTACTCCCACAGGTCAAACCAGGCAGAAGCGGGGAAGACACCTGGGCACAAGCACAGAGGCATGCACGTGCACATACACACGTGCAGACACACCCCACACACGTGTGCACAGACACGCCCCCACACGCGTGCAGACACACCCACACACATGTGCAGACATGCCCCCACACGTGTGCACAGACATGCCCCACATGCGTGCACACACCACACACGTGTGCACAGGGACACACCCACACACATGCAAGGCACATGCCCCCACACGCGTGCACAGACATGCCCCACATGCGTGCACACACACCACACACGTGCACAGGGACACGCCCCACACACGCCCGCGTGCAGAGGCACATGCCCCTCACGCACGTGCACAGGGACACACGCCCCCCACACACGTGTGCACAGGCACACGCCCCACACACGCCCGCGTGCAGAGGCACACGCCCCTCACGCACGTGCACAGGGACACCCCACACACGCGTGCACAGACACGCCCCCACACACATGCACAGGCACACACCCCACACACGCGCCCACACATGCGTGCACAGGGACACGCCCCCCCACACATGCAAGGCACACGCTCCCACACACGTGCACAGGGACACACCCACACACACACATGTACATGCACGCCCCCACACACGTGTTCACAGGCACACGCCCCACACACGCCCGCGTGCAGAGGCACACGCCCCTCACACACGTGCACAGGGACACGCCCTGCACCAGAGCAAGAGCCACAGCCGTTGGCCCGCATCCACACTCACGCCAGCGGGGCACCAGCTCTGTGCCACACTTGGAGAGTGTGGGGCGGCGCATGGCCAGGATGGCCGGCTCTGCCTCACGCACGCCCCCCCACCTTCCACTGCCCCCCGAGGTCCAACAAGCCACAGCCCCTCCCGCCTCATTTGCGGCCCAGGCCCCCTGGACAGCCCCCTGCTCCCCAGCCCCCCTGCACTGCCTCCTCCCTGTGCCCTGTGTGGAGGCCGCACCCCGCCGGGCACCTGTGCCAGCCCTCTGTGCCCCTCCCCTCCTGAGTGTCCAGTCGGGCCCACGGCCCCCCGGCCCGTTCCCATGCCACCTCCTGCGGGCTTCTGCCCTGGGGACTCCTCTGTCCCTGCTTACTTGGGTGTGGCTGGCCCCACCCCGGAGCAGTGACCCCAGGAGTCACGGTCTCTGCAGGGCCCTCCAGGCGCTGGGAGAGTGCAGTGCTCCGTCATAACATGGAGTGACAACACGGGGACGAGGACACAGACCCCACAGAGGGGAGGCCCGGGCCTCCAGGAGGACGAGGCAGGGAGGGGGTGAGCTGGCAGAGAAGGATGAGCGGGGGCGGGGGGGCCCCTGAGCAGAGGGGCCGGGGCAGGGCAGCTGTAGGGCGAGGCCGGGATCCACCAGTGTGCCTGTCCCTGAGCCCGGGCGCGGTGGCAGTGCCGCCTGTGGATGCCCAAAGCACAAGTAAGGGAGAGGGAAGGTCAGGGTGTGTCCCTGGACCACTGGCGGGGACACTGGTGGGAACCCTGCTGGAGGACATGGAGGATGGTGATTTTGCACGGAGCTGGGCTGCCTGGGTGAGGCCCACACAGGCTATGACTGCAGGGGCTAGAGGCTGGGGAAGGAGAGGCAAGGACACTATGTGAATCACCTGAGCAGATGGGGACACCAAGGCACGGGTGTGAGGGCACCTCCGGGAGACGCAAGGGGTGGACCCACCCAGGAGCTCAGGGCCCAGGCAGAAAGGGAGGCTGCGGGGGTGGACTGCATGCATGACCTCCTGGAGCCTCAGTTTCCCCAGGTGCCGGAGGACAGCAAGGTGCACCCGAGCCTGGGGCTGGACCTGCATGAAGGGCTGAGAAGTGCCCGCTGCTCCTGCCCGGCTCAAGGCTCCCCCACCAACGAACCAGAACTGGAACTGGACCGAAGCTCACTTGAGCACCCTGATCCCCACCTCCTGTCCCAGAAGCTTCTGCACCAATCCCCGGGACAAGCAGCAAGCAGAGTGAGGGCCTGGTGCAGGGGACAGCCAGGCAGTGGGCAGGGAAAACACCCACGCCGGGCCCTGGTCTCCAAGAGGCCCTCCTGGCCACCCCAGATAGACCAGCAAAGCCATCAACACACTACCCAGGCGCACGGCACCTTGCCAGGATCAGGGACCCAGCATGTTTTCAGACCCGCCTCCAGCGACAGAGAACAGGGGTCACGTTCCGCGTCACCGTCAGGAGCCGCCAGCCACATCCAGGCCTCGGCGGGGCCGCTCAAGATGCCAGGGGTGCGACCGAGCCTGCCACCTGCTTTGTGCGCACTGCGAGCTCGGAGCGCGCTTTCTACCTGTAAATGGTTTTTAATAAGCCGAGGCTATGTCGTGACACGTGAGAACGACAGGAGACTGACATTTCGAGGCCACAAGGAAGACCCCCTGGTGCCAGCACGCTGGCTGCCTCGCGGTCCTTGGGCTGCTCCGCGGCCCGGAGGTGTGTGGCCCGAGAGGCCTCAGAGACGTGCCCCGGTCTTTACGGAAGACATCTGCCCACCCCTATACAGTCACTGACTCAGTCTCCCCAGCTTCCAAAGGCGTGATGAGAAATAAGAGGACAGACTGTTCCAGATTAAAGACACTCCAGAGGCCCAGCAACCAGCCCTAATGCAGGAACTTGGCCAGTCTAGCCAAGCAAGTCCGAGGACCTTCGGGGAGAAGCCAGGGTGTCCAGACAGGGATGGGCTTGCCCTCAGGAGACGGAGGCGGACGTCTGCTGCCCAAGCCCCAGGTGTCCCGGGGAGTTGCGACAGCAGCCAGGCTCACACAAGGGAGCCAGGGCCCGAGCCAGGCCTCACCCTGCACCCGAGCGGCCCACCCAGGACACCGTAGTCGGGGGCATGAGTTTGGGGGGCTCGGGGGAGAGCGGCCCATGTGCCACGGCGGGGGGGCAGGGCTGCAGGAAGCCCGACTCAATCACACCCATGAGGCGCAGGGAAAAGGACACCTGAACCCTCCTTGTTCCCAAATAGCCAGATATGTGAGCCCCACGGAAGCCAAACCCACACTCTGAAACCCAGGGCCTGAAAGTCCTGACGGTCAAGAGCACGGTGCCCTGGCCCCACCAGCCTTTTCTGCCCAAGAAAGGCCCCTTCCCCACCCCAGGGTGCCTCAAAGGGGCACCAGTCTTCCCCTGGACAGCTCTGATGGCCCCAGATGGCCCTGGGGCTCCCCGCTCCGTTCGTGGCCCAGCTGGGGCCCCAGACAACAAGGATACGGATAGATTTCCAGCACCTTCCAGAGGTGGGTCCCTGGTGCCTTGAGAACCTGACAGGCACCTAAACACCCTCCTGTCAGAAAAGCTCCAATATGCAGAGGCAGGGACCAGCCTCGTGAGCACACGCTCAGGCCTGCACACTCCCAGCTGTGGGTCCAGGGTCCAGGTGGAGACACCCAGGCCCAGGGCCGCCTTGAGGGCTCCCCCCAGGTGTCCTGCGAGTAGGATGGGCGCCTCCCTGGCCCGGGTCCTGGACCTGCCTTCTCAGCCTCAAGGGGCTCACACTCACCTGCAGCATGAGCTCACACTCATCACGCCCCACGAAGATGAGCTCTCGCGGAAGCCGGTGGCGGTTACCACTGCTGCTCACCAGAAACCAGGAGGTGACACTCATCTTGGCACTGGCCAGGCCTGTCCGGCCCTGGGGGGAAGGAGGCGTTAGAGCAGGCTTCCCTCCCTTGGCCCCAGCCCCTGGACACGAAAGGCCCAGCACAGATCCTGCCCCCCTGGAGGTTCAAGCACCCCATGGCCACGCAGCGGCCACCCCTGGACACACTGGGCCCCAGCCATACTAGGCCACCCGCCCTTCCCTAAGGATGCCTGCCCCTGTGGCCGCCTTCCCCAGCTAAGTTCTCCCAGGCCTCCCTTGTGCTCTAGGCCCCTCTCCTCTCCCTCCTAGATGCCAGGCGTTGAGTCTACGACGAGGCACAGGCCACGCTGCCCACGTGTGGAGCCGCACATGCCCTCATGACCCGACCAGGAACAGCTCTTGAGTGGGACTCGGCATGGCCCATCGGGGCCCCCGCAACGCCAGGTGCGCAGGGCCAGACCCCATCCCAGGACACATACTCTGCACCGGGGGATGTTTCCCCTAGCCGGACACTCTGGGGTGGGCCTGGCAAGGAGGGCCAGGGGGAGACAGCTGAGGATAGGAGCCCTGAGCCATCAGCACACTGATCACTTAGAGGAGACCAAACAGCCCTTGGTGGCCACTGCAGCCATCCTGCTGAGGTCCCCAAGCCAGGACAGTACCAGCTGACCAAGGCAGCAGGTGACAGAGGTGGTGCCCGGTGCCCGAGGCCCCGGGGGCATCGTGAGGGGCTGGTATGGTCAAGATGGGCAAGGAAGCACCACGGTAGCTTGAGGGGCACAGTGGGGGCAACCTGAGTGACAACGAGGGCCAATGTCACCCAAGACCCGGCCCTGGGGCGGCCCGCACACACACGCTCCCACACAGGCGCCTTGCTCACCCGGAGCCCCAGAGCTGTGTCACCACAGTGGTGCTGGTGTGTGGACACCAAACACGCACACACGCTCATGGGACACACGTGTGCACACGGCCTCCTGCGATCCAGAGCACCGCCCGCAAGTGTCCTGGCCGCCCTTCTCCATACAGACACGCATACTGCCGAAATACATACACACACACACACACACACGCTGGATAAATCACATCCCGAGCACCGCCATGTGCCGAGGGGCGTCCTGGGCTCTGAGACAGCTGTGACCCACACCACCAGCCTTCCCACCAGCCGTGGAGGCAGGCAGCAAAGGTGAAAGGCCCTGAGAAGGTGTGAGTGTCCCAGAGGAAAAACGAAGCAGGGAGGGAGAGGTGGGGGGTCTGGGAAGGCTCCCTGGGAAGGGGACATCTGAGCGATGCTGGAGCAGGGACAGGAGCAGGGGGACGAAGTGGGCATGTGAACATCTGGGCACTGTGGTCCAGACAGAGAGAACCAGTGCAGAGACATGGGTCACAAGGCTCGGGGAGTCCTGTGGCCGGTGCTGGAGCCAAAAGGTAGTTCCAGGACCTGCTTCATCTCCGGAAGGCTCAGCGCAAAGTGAAATGTGGTAGCCTTGTCCAAAAGTCATGAAGAATTTCAAAAACACCATGAGCGGAGCACTGAGCAGAGCAGGGGGACACAGTGGAAGGGCATGGGCAGGTGCCACGTGGCCAGCCCTGGAGGTCCTGAAGCCACAGTGTGACTCAGAGGATGGAGCACAGACAGGAGATTAGACAAGAAGGGAGAGAAGCAATGGTGGGAGCAGTGGGGGCATCCCCGGTCCCTGTCCCTGCAGTACCCACAGCCAGAGGCCCCAGCTGTCAGCTCCCTTCTGGGTGGGCAGTGAGCAAGGCCATGGAGGCCCAAGTGACCATGTATCCCTTGGCATACCCTCATGTCACCTGGGCCAAGCAGGTGGGAGCATGTGGGAAAACCCACCCCAGGAGAAGTCTGCCAGAACCCCCTCCCCAAAGCCCCAGGCACTTCCTCAGAGTCTGGCCAGAGGGGCATGCGCTAGAGGCGAAGGGAGGAGCAGGTGACCTCCACCCCCTCCCCTGCAGGGCTCCGGAGGCCTCCACAACCCCAGCCTCCTCTAAAACCCCTCCTTCAGGCAGCGGGGAGGAGGGGCCCCTGCCCCATCACAGCCCCATCACAGCCCCATCACTGCCCTTCCCAGCCCCCACAACCCACACTCTTCCATCACCTGCTACCGGCTCCAATAGGCAGCGACCCCACCCAGAGGACGCCACAGCCTCGGTTTACAGCAAAGGGAGGCCAAGCCCCGAGAGCCTGGTTATGCGGCCAGGCCACCCCGGCCACTCACTACCAGCCCACCCTGAAAAGGCTCAGGCCGGGGAACTGAGGATGTTCCCAAACAGCCTGCGGCCGGATCGGGGCTGGCCTGGCCATCGTTGCTAGGAGGGAGAATAATAAACACCCCAAACTTGTCCCCACGGCCGCCCCAGCCAGAAAAGCCACCCGCCAGGAGGTGAGGAGGGAAGGTGGAGCCGCCCGGGGGCAGGGGCTGGGAGCGGGCCGGGCCCGGGAGAGGGAACGGATGGGGGCAGGGTCTGGGAGCGGCGGGAGCTGGGGCGGGCGGCTAGAGGGAGCAGACGGAACGGAGGCCGGGAGCAGGCCGAGAGAGGAGGCAGGGACAGCGCAGCGACGGCGGCGACAAGGGAGACGAGGAGGAGGACGGAGGGAGGGACCGCGGGAGGAGAGACCAGGCCGGGCGGCGGCCGGGCCTGCAGGGGGAGGGAGCGGCGCCTTCTGAATCAGCGCTCGCCGGGGCAGCCATGGCCGAGCCGGTGCCTGGGCGGGGGCCCCGGCGCCCAGGCCTGCGCCCCCTCTCCAGGCCGAGCAGACGCGCGCCGGGCGCCCTTCCCCGCCTGGCGCAGACCCGGGCCGCCCCCGCGGCGGCGCCACCGGCCCGGCCAGGTGCGCCCGCGGCCGCGTCCCCACGCCTTTGTCCAGCCCGGACGGGACCTGCTCCCCCGGCCCCTGCCCGCCGCCCATCTCCATCCCCGCGCGGCCCGGCGGGCGCAGGTGCGGGCGCAAGGAGGCCCCGGCCGCCGCGGGCGCGGGGATGCGCGCCTTACCTGCGGCTCGGCCCCGGCTCGGCCCCGGCTCGGCCCCGGCCCTCCCGCCCGCCGGCCGAGCGCTGGGCGGGGCCGCCGCCTAGGACATGCCCGGCGCGGCCCGCACGCTCGCGGCAGCCCCGGCTGAGCCCACGGGCGGAGCGGCGGCCCGCGGCCTGGCGCGCGGGTCCCTGACGTCTGCGGGCGCTCGCCCCGCCCCGCGCCCCGCCCCCGCGCCCCGCCCCGCCCCCGGAAATCCAGGTTAGGGCGGGCCCCGGCGCCAGGTGCAGGCGGCCCTCGGCCCCGCGCCCTCCCCTCTCCGCCCCCGCGCCCCCCGCAGACCCCTCCCCTCTCTGCCTCGGTGCCCTCTCCCGCGCCCCCACCCCCCGGCCCCCTCCCCTCTCTGCCTCGGTGCCCTCTCTGCCTCGGTGCCCTCTCCCGCGCCCCCACCCCCCGGCCCCCTCCCCTCTCTGCCTCGGTCGGGTCCCCCGCGCCCACCACTGGGTTGTCCGCGCCCGCCCCCTGGTCACTAGTTCCCGCACCCAGCCGACAGACCCCCTCCCCTCCCAGTCTCCGCCCCGCCTGCCAGGCGGAACCTAGGGCCCGGAGCAGCCCGGCGTCCTGGCCCTGGGCCCGCGGGTGAACGCTTAAGCCGGCTCGGGGAGCGTTCCCAGCCCCTAACCTTTAGCCCCGCCCGCCCAAGTGAGGGTGGAGCTTGGGGGAGGGGAAGGGAGTCCCGGAGGCCCAGCTTGCCCCACCTGAGCCCTCCCTCCCGCGCCCCCAGCTCCCAGACACCTGGCGTTCTAGGCTGGGCGCGGGGTGGGGGTCGTGGCCGTCGACGGTGGCGTGGGCCGCGGGGCGGGGTGGGTCTGGGGACCCTGGAGGTGCTCACCGTTCCTGGGGTAAGGCTCACGGGCTGCTTGCTGGTGTCGGGTGACCCGGGAGCTGGGAGAGGGAAAGGGATTAACGCTGGGGCGGGGGCAGCGTGGGAGACGCCTCGCGGAGGGACTGCCCTACGGCATCCTACCTTCCTGGTATGGGGAAGGTCTTGAGCAGAGGCTCGGGGGTGAGCGCGGCAGTGGAGGGAAGTCCTGGGAGCAGGGGTTGGGAGGGCGGTGTGCTGGGGAGCCTGGGCTTTAGGGCCTGGACAGCTGGAGCTGCGACGGTGCCCACCCGCCGTGCGCCCGTGCCGGCTGCCGCCCCGCCAGGGGCACTCGACAGTCAGCCCTCATAGTCCTCAGTCCCCGCGAAACCCACGTGCCAGGCCCTGCCCTGTGGGTGGGAGCAAGAAGGGGGGCACACACCCTGGAGAATGGAAGGGAGCCTCAAGCACCTACCATGCAGGTGGAAACCCACCTGCGGGGGGGCGGGCTAGGAGAGTACGGAGTGTGCCAGGCAGCGGGCGGCCCACCTGGGCTGGCCCCGCCCGCAGCGCCGTGTGAGAACTCAGAGGCCAGGGCACCCGGGGTTGGGGGAGGAACAGGGGAGGGACCTGCAGCTGGGTGATCAAGAAGTTTGGACTTCATCCCAAGGACAACGTGGCGCCGCAGGAGGGTTTGATACCAGCTGAGACCTGCCCTGACGAGGGTATTAGAGAGCTCTGGGTGCCCAAGAAGGTGGGGGTGGGGGGTGTGGGAATGGTCAGATATCCAGCCAGAGACCCTGGGCTGGAAAAGTGGGGACTGAGGAGAAGGAAGAGGTTGGACTGGGTATTCCCGGTTGCCCCCCAGACCTGCCCTCCTCCCTCTACACCCTGCTCTGAGCTCCGCACTACATCAGTGGCCCCATCCCCCACCTCCACTGGCTTCCGGGTGAGTTTGGCCTCCAGCCCAGAGGTTGGGGAATTTCCCCAACTCCCAACTGGATCCAGACCTACCATGTCCCTGAGGCCCCAGCCCCTTCCCAGGGGCCCTTTCCTACCCTCTCAGGACTCTGGGACCAGCCCCCACCCAGAGCTTCACCTATCCCTTGTACACAGCTTGGTAAATGGCCCTTCATAAAAGTCCTTTTCTCTCTTTGTGTCTGTCTTCTTTCAGGATCCTGACTTCCTCCAAGGAGTGGGAGAGGGGAGGCAAGTATGGTTCCCAGCAGTCACCTGGGCAGCCTGCTGTCCCTGGGAAACAGGTGACCAGATGTGCAGGGATCACCAGTTGAGAGTTTGACACAGGGGTGGAGAGCCCGGAGGACAAGCAGGTGAGCTGTCCCGTAATATTTAGGAGTTCTGGACAGAGCCAGGGAGCAGCTTTAGACGCCATCAGATATGGGGGAATACCTGGACCCACAGGGAGGAGCTGCAAAGAATGAGGTACACCCAGCCAGGAACCCACAGAGGAGTTGGGGGGGAAGGAAAACAGGACAAACTGATCTATACATTGAATATAAGCCAGTAAAAGTGGCTACAAGATGTTTTTTATAACTACACAAACCAGTTCTAAAGTCCATGTAGAGAATAAAGGCACAAGAATAAACAGGCTGAGGGGCTCAGTCGGTTGGGAGTCTGACTCTTGGTTTCGGCTCAGGTCCTGATCTCAGGGTGGTGGGATGGAGCCCAGTGTTGGGCTCTGCGCTCGACGGGGAGTCTGCTTGAGATTCTCTCTCTCCCTCACCCTCTGCCTCTCCCCCTGCTCTCTCTTTCTCTCCCTCTCAAATGAATAAATCTTTAAAAGAAGAAATAGGCTGAAAGTGCTAGAATGGACATGTCCCCAGGGACAGTGCACAGACAGCCACAAGCACATGGAAGGATGTTCCACATCATCCGAGACACCAGCTCACACCCATTAGGATAGCTACTATCAAGAAATATAGGTAGATACGTAACAGATAAAATAAGTACTGGCAAGGATGTGGAGAAATTGGAACTCTGTGCACTGTTGGTGGGAATATAAAATGGTGCAGTTGCTCTGGGAAACAGTATGGCAGTTCTTCAAAAACTTAAAAATAGAATTATTATATGATCCAGTCATTCCACATCTGAGGTTTCACCCAAAGGACTGAAGGCAGGGACACAGATGCTCACAGTAGCATTACTCACAGTAGCCAAAAGGTGGCAGCACCCAATGTCCATTGATGGATGAATGGATGAGCCAAAGGGATTCCAACCCCACCGTGAAATATTATTCACCCTTAAAAAGGAAGGAAATCCTGGCTCCTGCTACAACATGGATGAACCGTGAGGACATTAGCCAGTCACAAAAGGACAAATACTGCATGGTTCCACTTATATGAGGTCCCTAAAGGAGTCAGACTCACAGAGACAAAGTAGGATTGGGGGTGCTGGGGGTGGGGAGATGGGGTGGTGAGTGTTCAGTGGGACAGAGTTTCAGTTTGGGGAGATGAAAAAGGTTCAGGAAATGGGTGATGGTGATGGCTGCACAATGACGTAAATGTGTTTAATGCCCCTGAACTGTACCCTTAAACATGGTTAAGATGGTAAATTTTATGTTATGTATATTTACCACAATAAAAAAGGAAAAAGAGAAGCAGAAGATCCTGTAAAATTCTGAAACAGAAGGCTCTAGTTCTGCTGGAGGGCAGAATCTGTCGTAGAACAAACCGGAACATTTTGTTATGGGCAGTTCACTGGACACACAGATCAGAGGTTTGTGTCATCATTTAGCATATGATTATTTGGCATTTAAAATCCACAAGGAAGGGGCGCCTGGGTGGCTCAGTCATTAAGCGTCTGCCTTTGGCTCAGGTCATGATCCTGGGGTCCTGGGATCGAGCCCCGCATCAGGCTCCCTGCTCGGCGGGAAGCCTGTTTCTCCCTCTCCCACTTGCCCTGCTTGTGTTCCCTCTCTTGCTGTGTCTCTCTCTGTCAAATAAATAAATAAATAAAATCTTAAAAGATAAAAATAAATAAAATAAAATCCACGAGGAAAAGGGCGTTATTTAATTAAGCGTATTGGGATGACTGGCAGCCATTGGACTCCCATCTCCAAAATAAAATCCTTATGGTCCAGAAACAGAAGTGCAAAAAAAAACCCACAACCACAAAGGCATTCCAAGAAAACACAGGAGACTTTAATAGTCTCAGGATGAGGAAGGCTTTTCTCAGCATGATACAAATGCAGAAGCCATTAAAAATAAAGTTTATAAATCTAATTAAATTACGAATTGCAACATTTTGCATAGATACAACCTTTTAAGTCCAAGGATGTGTGACAAACTGGGGAAACTTTGTAAAACATATGCTCGACAATGAGCCGACTCCCCTAACAGAGCACTCTGGTAAATTAGTGAGGTGAAAGCTGCCGATCTCGTAGAAAGTCCGTCAAGCAGCCTGGATGTGTGCAAAAGGAAACGGGAATAGCTATTTGTTGAAAGATGCTGAATTTCACCCATAATCAGAGAAAAGCAAGTGCGTGCTCCCTGGAGGTAGCAGTCTTCCCCTACAGGGAGACTAGGAAGTCTCAAAAAGGGTCAGGAGGGGAGGGGTAGAGAGACAGGCACCCCCAGTTACATCTCCAAATGGGAGTGTGCAGTTTGGGTGGGGACATTGCCCATCAGCCTCACAAAGGCAGGTGTCCGGCCAGCCCTGCCTCCCTGCTGGGATCCCTTCCTTGGGAACAGCCACGTGCGTGCCACCAAGGGCAGCCATGATTTCGCATCACTGCATTGCTCCTCACCGCAAAGCTAGAGACAGCCTGAACCTGTGTCCACGCAAGGCCACCCCTGAGTGAGGCTGGACCCTCTGCAGCCTTGGGCATGGGGCACCAGCATCCTGGACTGGCGCAGAGCCATCTCTTTGATATTCAAAGTGAACCCACGGCCCCTCTGACTCCTCTATGCTGTCTGGTCCTGGTGGTGGTCTCTGCACATGGGAACTGGGGGTGGGGAGACCTTGTTTCCACCATTTACCCTTGGCTCTGCTTGAAATTTTTTAAACTGGGAAGCCATATTAAAGATGACAAAGTGTGCTGTATTCTTTAGGGAAGAGAGAGTCAGGAGAGAGGCGGGAGGGCCCTGCAGAATGTGCCAGAGTCAAGGGAACGTCCAGCAGATCCAGTGGGCTTGCGGCCAAGGACACAAGGCTTCAAGGTCAGGCAGGGGCCTGATCTGGTGCCTACAGCTGTAGGCGGAGAGTGCAGACCCCCGCCTCCAAGGGTGAGAGTGGAGCCAGGGAAAGAGAGAGATGGAACCGGGGTTGCCTGT